GAGAGGGTAAGGAAAGGCGAAAGGACAATCGAAGAATAGAAAGAAGCTTTGAGCACGCTGAGGATCCCTTCCATGGTGCTTCGAGTAGCTAAACGATCTTCTAGAAGGAGCAGATAGAGCTTCCGCATGCCCCCACCTCCTCTCAGTCGGAACTGCTTCGCGAAGGACAAAGATCAATTACGTTCGCCCTGCATTTGTTTTTGCTCATGTTCCTTCTCACGCCCACGGTCCATACCACGCCCAGATCCCGATTTACGCTATGGCCTTCCCTCTCACACACGGACTCACCTGCTAACCCTTTCCCCTCTCCCTGCCTCCTTGGTTGCCGCAACCAAGTCACCTGCTGCTGCTGCTCCCGCTCCCTGATCTGCAGCTTCAAATCTGTTTCATGTTCAGCCTCCCACCGAGGCGAACATGCCTATTGCTTCTTCACCCCCTTCGCGTTTATTTTATTCCTCTTCCTTTGCCACCAGCTCGGACATTGCTAGGCATCAACCGCCAGTGTCTCGGATTTTCCTGGGCGGGCGTCAAGGCCCAAAAAAAAAAAATAAGACAGTAGAAACGACTCCCCCAACTACTCACGTCCCGAGCTGCTTCAAAGTTCCCTCTTCGCCCTCTCAAGACGTCGAACAGAAAGGACGACGTGAAAGACAACAGCACAGTGGGTGGCGAAAGAACTCGACCCACCTATACCTATCTTATGGGCGGTAGAATCCTAGATCTAGATGCATTTGTATAGTTATGATATCTACTTTAGCTTGTTGTGAAGAAACGTCGTTCAAAGTTACACCTACGTCAGCATACTTGCCTCAACTGCCCCTCCAAAGGATGGCGGTAGGTCAATCCCTTTCGTCACCCAACATGACGCTACCACCCCCACCCCCCTGGAGCTGTGTGACCACGGAAAGGCGGACGTGGTGATGCGGACTGGAAACAAAGAGAAAAAGGAAAGGAGATCTTCCGACGCAGCACTAGGTGCTCTCTAGGCTGACTGATGGCGTGAAACCCCTGTCCTCATCCGACCCTCTCTTATGCACCATCATCGTCATAATATGCGGTTGCAATCGTCCGTGTCTGCCCATCACCAATATATTGCTTTCCCCGCCATCGAATGCGTGATGCAGATCTGGGGGATTCAGATCGGACATCCCGCGCGTGACCCCCCCTAAGAGGTGCTTTCCGGATCCTGATTTGCCCAAGGCAAAGAGAGAGCCTGGATCTATACCCCCGCCCTGACGGTGACGAAAGATTCGTTGATGCCGAGGCCCTAACGCGTCATACATGCCTTTTGCATGGATTCACGCTCCGCTGGACTCATATATTACCGGATATAGAAGTTTGTATTCGATGGTTCTAGATTGAGCTTTCAGCGAAAGGTCTCCCGCCGTCCTCTACTGGAAGCGCGCAGTCTTGAATTGAAAAGAAAGATGAGTGTACATTCCAGAAAGCGCAAACGCGAATCGCATGTTCAGATAAGGAATCTTTCTTGATGGGGGATTTTTTTTGATTATAATCCTTAGTTCTTTGGCATTTGATTTCATGAAAAAGGTCTAAGACCGTACAGAGAGCAGGACGTGCTATCGTAATGTAAACGACAAAGGGGGATTGATGGCCATAGGGTAAGAAAGGGGAAAGGAGACCGGGGGTTATCGCAAACTTCTAGGGTTTAAGCAAAAATTGAACGGAATCTTTAGAAGCAAAGAAAGACCGATACAGCCCCGCTTTGCCGACCCAAGGAAACCCTTGTGTGGCTGAATTTTTTGATCCTCGTCCAATGGAATGCCAACTAAGATACCCCATCACACCAGTCACCGGAACATGACATCAAAGACGTTTACTCGGCCGCCTTGGCCTCCTCAGCGGGGGCGGTAGTCTCGGCGGGGGCCTCCTTGGCTGCCTCCGGCGCGGCCTCAGCAGCGGGCTCCGCCTCGGAAGAGGTCCACAGGGTCTAGACTTTTGTCAGTGGACGATCACGGTGGAATTGTCGGAGAGGTGCTTACCAGGTTGTCACGGAGCAGCTGCATGATAAGGGTGGAGTCCTTGTAGCTCTCCTCGCTGAGAGTGTCGAGCTCTGTCGTGGTCATCAGTGTCTTGGCATCATGGGAAAAAAAGGACTTGATATCACTCACCAGCAATGGCATCGTCGAAGGCCTGCTTGGCAAGGTGGCAAGCCTGGTCGGGCGAGTTGAGAATCTCATAGTAGAAGACAGAGAAGTTCAGGGCGAGACCAAGGCGGATGGGGTGAGTGGGCGCCAGGTCGGTCTGAGCAACCTCGGTGGCGGCCTTGTAAGCCTCGAGGGACTTATCGGCGGAGGTCTTGCGCTTATCGCCCATGGCGAACTCGGCGAGGTAACGGTGGTAGTCACCCTTCCTGTGTGGCAAGGTTCGTCAGTCTCCTGCGCTCCCAATTGATGCGCTGGGCAGCCTTACATCTTGTGGTAGAAAACCTTGGACTCGCCGCTCTGCGCGGACGGGATAAGGTGCTGGTCCAGAACCTCCAGGATGTCCTCGCAGATCTTGGCGAGCTCGGCCTCGATCTTCTGGCGGTACTCCTTGATCAGGCCAACCTGAGACTCGTTGCCCTTGGACTCCTCCTTCTGCTCGATCGACGTGACGATTCTCCAGGAAGCACGGCGGGCACCGATGACGTTCTTGTAAGCGACGGAGAGGAGATTCCGCTCCTCAACGGAAAGCTCCTGGTCTGCGGAGGCGACGGTCTTCATGTTCTCAACCATCTCTGCGAGCCACGTCAGATCTACCGACATCCAGGGACAGCGGCGCATTTGTACATACCCTCATAGCGCTCGGCCTGCTCGGCGAGCTTGGCCAGGTAGACGGAGTTCTCGTAGCTACTCATGGTGACGTGGGAATGTGTGGTCTGTAGGTCGCAAACGTCAGCGTCAGGCCCAAAAGCGGTGTGCGAACGTGCATCGTGATGGCGGCTGTGATGCGCAGCCGTCGTTGGCGCCGGAGCTCGGAGGAAGGTATGAACGAGGCGGATAGCGGGGCAGAGTGACCAGCGCGTTGCGCCCAACACCACCTGGCCGAGAGATTTGGCGTGCGTTCCCCGCCGCCGTGGCAGCGGGTCGGCGAAGCAGCGGAGTGATGGCAAGCGCGAATGGCGCCGTTGAGATGGGCGCAGAGCGTCGCGGTGAAGGGGTGCAGTTGTAAGGAGTCAGGATGTCAGGGTGGGGCAGCGGCGGCGCGCAATGCTCTGGCTCGTCCTGCGGTCGTCTGCAGTGCAGCGTTGGACGTCGCACCCGCGCCGAGATTGTGAGCGCTGGATGGCGCCGCGTGTAGCGAGTTGCCGGCGGAGCGCTCGACAGGCAAGCCCAGGAGGCTGAAAGAATGATGAAAGAACGGGTTTGTCTCTCACCTTGGAAGCCTGTGGCAGAGATCGACGAAGCAGTAAGTGGAGGCGGGGTTTGCGAAATGGGACGCTGAAGATATCGGGCCTGCGGCGACGTGGACGGGAGGGGATGAACTTGGGAGAGGATGTGGTGTTTGTTGTTGACGTGCGATCAGTCAGTAGGAAGCCAAGAGAAGGCGGCCTTAGCCGTATTTAGCGAGAGCAACGGGGCAATTACGGCCACCGCCTGGGCCGGCAGGAGCGAATGATACAGAACAAAACGCGCCAACACACTCGCACCACGCCGCGCCCGTGACTCATTGCCAGCGTGCGCCCACCTGGACGCCGTTGGGCGCCCGCGCAGCCGTCGCAATTTCCAGAAGCCTGCTGGCGGGGCGGCGCCTCATTGCGCGTCAAGGCTAAAGGCGAGGCGGGAGCGCAAGTCCAACCCGACCAGATTTGTCCGTATCTTTGGCCTCCCCTGCGTGCATCAAACCGCTTACGAAGCCAGTATTGCAATAATATGGGGGGTTGGCTTTCTTGTCTAGATGCTTCGCTCAACGCCGCTCGAGCAATCCTGGCCAAGCCATCGCTCCCACTCGTGGTTTTCCACCGTTGATGTCCTGATGGCGGCGGACCTCAGCACCAGAACCGCTCCACCTTGGTGCCTCAGGGGCAGAGTAGCGCTGTCACGTGCAGTCCTTCAATATAGTCTGCCACTGCCATAGGGGCGCGTCTTGCCGATAAGGAGTCGCCCGATCGCTGGATGGTCGCAAACAATGACATGTCTGATATTTTTCGCTGCACCGCCCCTGTCTGGCTCTGGGCAGCAATTTTGCCATTTCGCGCTTTTCGGGGCTGTGCCAGCGCAACCCTGGCCGGCGTGGTGGCGCGCGCCTGATTGGCCGTCCCGTCGGTCGATAAATGACCAGTCCTGAAGCAACCACGCACCTTTCCCGAGGCTCGTGGGCGGCGGCAGCGTCATCATGGCGGCAGCCGATCTGCTGCAACGCCGCTCAGGGTCTGGAATCATAATGCAGCAGCTGGTGCTATCAGCCAGGCTCATCACCCCGCGCGAGGTCGGCCCAGCTGGGCGTCACCACTGCTAAGAGAGCAATTGGCGCTCTCGTCCAGGCTCATTCGAAGAGCTTTCTTCTTCTACGATCACCACATATAATAGCAAAGCCTTCGTAGGCTGGTCGTGTTTCACCATCATGCGAGCTGTCACCGTCCGCGAGCGTTGATTATTTTTGTCGCTACCTTGCCTGTGCCATCACTGCATCCGACCAAGGCATGCGTAGACGCCGTCGGCTGCTGCAAAGCCTCGTGAACAGATCGAATTTGACACATCTGGGCAGGATCATGCCACCAGGCCCCCTCGGCATCGCCCTTCCCCATACATCTCCTCACGTCTCCGTATGGAGAAGGTGCTGCACGTGATCATGTGCCCCGGCTAACGTCATTGGAAGGTGGCCTGGGCGCACGGCAGGCTGGCAGCCGCTGCAGCTCGCTCAAGCTCTCGCCCGACTTGACTTTGCTTCGCCGCCAAACCAACATCGATCCCGTCGCATCACCTTCGACCGCAAGACGTGAGTCCTCCCAACCTCCATCAATTCCACAGCCGTAAGCTAATGACTGCGCAGCAACCACAATGCTTCGCACTACCATCACCCGCGCCGTCCGCGCCCCCGCCGCTGCCCGCCCGTTCAGCACCTCCATCCGCGTCATGGGTGCTGGCGACACCGGTGGTGTCCGCAGCGGTGGCGAGAAGGCTAGGTGAGATCTTCAATGCTATCTAACTCCAGGCTTGATGCAGAGATTGATGACGCGCCCATTGCAGCGACGCCTGGAACAAGCGCGAGGCCGCCAACGAGGAGCTCTACATCCGGATGGAGGAGAAGAGAAAGTAAGCCATGGCCTTGGCCGACAGCCACTTTCACAGGCACGTCAGAGGCTGATTGACGGACCATTTAGGCTCCGGGCCCTGAAGGAGAAGCTCAAGAAGCAGAGGGAGCACCTTGACGAGCTTGACAGGCACATGTTCGTATTCTCTCGTTGCCCCACCCACTTCCGTTTTCACGAAAGCTAACCTCTGCGCGACTCAACAGCGATGACCTTACGAGGGAGCAGGGTGGTGAGCAAAACTAAAACGGCTATCCACCGCATATTATGGAACAGACAGATTGACACCATCCGCGATCAGGCAACTAAGTTAAGGCATAAAGGAAAGGACCGTTGGGGCCAACTGAATGAAGTCTTCCCCCGCCAGGCAAGCACTATAGCAGCATTAAATCACTTCAAAGCGAAGATTGCATTCACTTGGACTTACGGACAACCCGTGACATTCCCTCCGCACACCTGCCTTGCGGTTGTTTGTCGAGAAGGATTCGACTTCGGATAAGCGGACGCTCATCCGAAAAGCCCCGATCCTCATCCAATGCCATCCACGCCTTTCCGACGCGCAGCCGGACATCTATATTTCGCTTAACAGCCTTCTTCGCCTTTGACACGGGGTTCCACAAAATCGCTTACGCGTTCTGGAGCTGGCACCACTGTAACTGTTTTTGCTTGAACTCCTTTACCGCAAACTGGAGGCTGCGAAGGACCAAGCCTCAGTCGAGTGACTTGGCGTGTCCGTGCGTCAACATTTCACATTACGTTGGCAGTTGTCTTTGACAAATGTTACATGCTTCATGGACGTGATGATGCCGAGGAAGCCTTCGAGTGATGACAATGCAGCAGGGCTTCTCGCCCATGCCCCAGTTTCACCCCTTGTGTTCCGCATCTCTTTCTCATCAAAAACCAAAGGAGATTTGTACAGCAAGGAAACTAAGGGGCTAAGTTTACACACGACCTCTCTTCTATATCCGCTAGCATAGGGTACATCGACGTTTAACCATCTAGCTCGCCATCCTGCTCATATCGTTCCTGACCCTGGCGTAGTCCAGCAGACCCTCAATCTGGCCAACAGCGCTGATGGCAATATCGCGGTCCCAGAGCTTTCTTTGCGCGAAGTCCATGACGTCCTTCTCGGAGATAGCGCCAACAACACGTTCAACCTCCTCAGGAGCAAGGCGGCGGCCGGTGGTGATGATCTGGCGGCCAATGTCCTCGGCAGTAGCGGTGGTGCCGTCGAGCGAGAGGAGAATCGAAGCCTTCAACTGAGCCTTGGCACGCTCGGTCTCAGCCTCGGTGACGTTGAACGACAGGCGGGACCACTCGCGGAGAGTGAAGTGGACGAGGTCGTCGAGCTTGGTAACGGCGTCAGAGACAAGGTAGATACCCCAAAGACTATAAAACGTTAGATGATTGTTTTGGGTCCATTGAACGGCCTGCATCATCTTACCCGGTGTCACTGTAGCTGGTCGAGAAGCTCATGAAGCTGTTGGCAAGGTTGTTGTTGTGGACGAAGGTGCTAAGCTTGCTGCCAAGGTAGGGAGAGCTGCCCATGGCGCGGTCCCAGTTGCCAACGATGGCTTGAGCAACGAGCGCAGTGAAGTAGTCATCGTCCTTCCAGCTCACACCCTCAACAGCAATGGCGATGTTGGCGGTGGGCATGGTGTCGTCACGAACCCTAACCTCGGAGCCAATGAAGTCGGGCTTGGCCTTCTGCGCAGCGGCGATGGAGGAGAGACCAGCCGGGGGAGCGGCGGGGAGGCTGGCGAAGTGCTTCTCGGCAAGATCGACGAGCTGAGCGTGGGGAATGCCACCGGCACCAACGAGAACCATGCGATCAGCGGTGTAGTTGGTCTTGATGTAGTTCGTGAGGTCGTCACGCTGGATGGACTGAATGTTCTCCTTGGGGCCCAGGATGGTGCGGCCGAGGGGCTGGCCCTGGAAAGCGGTAGCGTGGAGGTGGTCGAAAACGACCTCCTCGAGCTGCTTGTCAACCTCCTCCTGCTCACGGAGGATGACATCACGCTCACGCTCGATGGCAGAGCTCTCGAGCTTGGAGTTCTGGAGAATGTCGGCCAGGATGTCGACGGTGTTCGGGACGTCGGAGTTGAAAGACTTGGCGTAGTAGACGGTGTTCTCGCGCTGTTTTACATCAGAAGAGCTGGCAGGGCTAGCCGGCAGGCGGACGCACCGAAGTGTAGGCGTTCAGGTGGCCACCCATGTTCTCAATCTCGAGCTCGAGCTGCTGCTGGGTGCGCTTCTGGGTGCCCTGTACAAGATGGTCTCAGCTCCATTCCAATTTATCGCCACAGAATGTCCAGCAGGCCTCGTACCTTGAAGGCAAGGTGCTCCAGGAAGTGCGCGGTGCCATTGGTCTTGTCCGTCTCCGCGCGGCTACCGGCGTCGATCCACACGCCAACGGTCGAGGTCTGAGCCCAGGGCGAGTGCTCGGTGGCAATCTGATACCAATTGAGTCAGCAAGGGCACGGCGGACTGTGCGCGATGGCGCCTACGGTGAAGCCGTTGCTGAGGGTGGTGCTCTCCGTCTTCGCGCCGTAGCTGAGCGGAGTAGCCAAGCCTCTGGTCACGGGCGACCGAACGGAGCTGAGGGCCGCGCGGCTGCGCATGGCCTGCTGCAAGTTGAACGCTAGCCGCCGGGAAGCCATGGCGAGAAATGCGGGGAGGATGCGGCGGGATAGGACGGATGATGTTGGGTAGTCGGGAGCCGTGATGTTAAGTTGGCGAGGCGATTTTGCAGGACGTCGGTCCTAGGGCGCCAGCCAATCACCACTTGCTTACTATGTCTTGGCGCGATCAGCGGGTGACCTCGGTATTCGCACGGTGATGTCGACGCTCTCAAGCGCCTGAACTCGCGGTCCTTTCCCTTCTCCATCGCGATACACAATGGCATCCATCGTGCGCCCGACTCTGCGCGCCTGCCAGGCCGCGCCCGCCGCGCGCCTGCTCACCACCCGGGCCCCCGCCGCTTCGGCCTTCCGCCTCAACTCCCCGCTCGCCCGCTTGCCGGTGAAGCCCTCCTTCGTCCGCGATGCTCTGCCCGCCGCCAGGATTGCGCCCTTCCACGCCTCCGCTGCCAGCAGGGCCATTCTCCCCCCGCCGCCGCAGCGCATCCAGGGCACTGCCAACGACCCCACCCCGGTCCCGCCCGTCTCGGCCACTCATGGCAGCTACCACTGGTCCTTCGAGAGGTCCGATAGCCACATCAATGTTTCAGGGCATAGCTAATCTTTCCTTGCAGGGTCATCGCCATTGCTCTTGTTCCCCTCACCGTTGCTCCCTTCGCCGCCGGCACCCTGAACCCGGTCACTGACGCCGTGCTCGGCGCCCTTCTCGTCCTTCACTCGCACATCGGTTTCCAGTGCGTAGCCACATGTTTCTCAGAGGCCAGAGACGAAGCTGACAGCTCCTAGGTCCTGCATCATTGACTACTTCCCCAAGTACAGAGTGCCCGGTGTGTTCAGGCTCCTCATGTGGGTTTTGAACGGCGCCACCCTGCTTGTTGCATACGGCGTGTACGAGTTCGAGACAAACGATGTTGGCATCACCGAGGCTGTTAAGAGGGTCTGGACCGCGAAGCAGTAAACGGGCGTGCTTGAAATAGAGATGTTCAGGAAGCTTTTGTCGCGATAAATGGATGCCCTTTGTATAGCACCACAGAAACCGGGTGATCCGATTTATTTCTCCACCAAGGCCTTCAGGTCATTGTGGGGATGATATCAAGAGAGCAGGAGAGTATCACTCAGACGCGGCAGGGTCAATGGAGTTACTGAGGTTTCACAGGTGTAGTATATCGACTAAAAACTAGTCTATCTTGTTTTCACGCCTCTAAACATGGTTGAAATTCGACTGCTCCATTGCTGTTTCGTTGTCGCTTGTGAAGATCACAGGGTGGACAGCGATAGCCGATTTCGTCCGAGTTCACCCGATTAGTTATGCCGGATCAAGATGGTCGGGTGAACATTTACCCAGCATGATGTGATAACCAGACTTCAAACTGACGTCTAAGAAAGTAACGATGAATCTCTTTTGAGGGCCATCTCCTCTCACCGAAGAAAATTAAGAATAAAACCGGAAATGTACTAAATGACCACTAGCTACATCGAGTAAGTTTTTCGTGATTTTCAAAGAAGCCATGGAGCAAGAGGAAAGTATGGCTTGGTCAAGGAAAATGCGCACCTAATGACTGGGTAGTATCCAAAGCATCAAGGTGGGGCTCGACGGAACTCTGGTATTGTTGGCGTCTGGGATCCCAGGGAGCTACTGTTCAAGGGAGTATCACAGATGCCAGTGAGTGAGACGCAAGAGTTAGCTTTATGGAAGACTACTGACACTGCAAAAGCTCTATGGCCACAAAGCTACGGGCAACATAAACTGATGATTACGCATGACAGCAGAGCAATAGTCATTCAAACACGCGAGATAAAATACAGGGTCTTCCTAGGATAGCTGCTTCTCAGGGAGAACTATGTAACAGTCTCTAGGCAAGGTATCTGCAGACGTCGATATTCATTCAGTCTCGTTCCCGAAGCCTAAGAAACCGCCAATGACACCTAAGATAGTAGGTGGCTTGCCATTGCAGGCAGTCGCACCATCATCGAGAGGATTGCCTGTCGAGATGCCGAGATACTCAAGGTGAGCAGCATTAATGCCGATTCCGTTTGCGCCCAGGCCGGTGCCCCTGACAGCGTTGTTGCAGTCCTACGAATGTAGAGTCAATATACCCATCTTCTGCACCTGAGCTAGGCAAACTTACCGTAGGCTCCTGCCCGAAGCACTGGAACACACCGGCGGGCGTCGCCTCGTCCCGCTGCCAGTATTCGGTCGAGTGGTGCCTGTACCCGTCGCTCGTCGGGATCGTCTGCGGCACGCCGTCGTTGGCATGCGTGACGCGGAACATGTTGCCCGGCGGCGCCTGCTGATCAACGAAGTCGGCCCACGCCGCGTTACCAGTGCGGGGCTCGCCGAAGGTGTACGTGGTCACGGGGATGCCGGCGCCGAGGAACGAGAGGGTGGCAAGCGCGGCCACCGAGGCGCCGAGGGAATGTCCGGTGACGGTGACATTGTACGAGGGGTTGGGCGAGAGCTGGTCGCGGACGGCTGAGATGGCCTCCTCGGCGATGCTATTCCAGGCGCCGAGGAAGCCTTTGTGCGTCTGTTGGCTGCGGTAAGAGTCTACCATGATCAAGCTGGCACCTTCAAGGGAACCCGCGGTATAGGCAGAGTTGCCTACTCACTGTGCAGTTTCCGCAGGTGGCTGTCACCGCGGGTGACGTGTATGAGACGAGCTCCTGCGAGAAGTCGGTCCCAAAGTCTGCGAGATCAGAGGTGCCGCGAAAGGCGATGATGATTTCTTTGGCGCTATCGTCTCGCGCTACAAAGCCTTGGGTGTCCGTGTCTGGGTTATTGATTCGGTGCGTGATGCTTGCTCCGAAAGGCGGATTTGGACAATCAGACGCATATGCTGCAGAGGAGAAGTCCGCATAGCGTACGAATCGTGCAAAAGTATTGTTCGAAACTAGAGGAGGCCATCAGTCATGGAGTTTGCCTGTGACATAAAGTTCACCAACCAGTTGGTCCCGGTGTTTGACGAATAACAGTCGGGCTCCCTGTGCCCGAACGAGAGCAGAAGGAGAAGAGGGCGCCAATTGATACCTGGTATTGCAAGTTAGAGACCCACGATGCAGTCCTGGCTGGAATAAGGCAGGTGTACCTGAAGTGACCCAATACGCATTTTGAGAACGTCGTTCGGTGCCAAGAAGAAGAGTAAGGGGACACTATGTGAGTGCTGGGCAAGCTGCGTCTCATATGTGGCACGCCATGGAGCAGGTCCGAGGAACAGATCCAAGTTTCGATACTCAATAAAGTCAATATCCAGCCTTTGCGTGGATTTAGATTGAATGCGGCCCGGAAGCCGTGGCACATGGTTGCGGAGAGTTCGAGCGTGAAACGCTTGATATCCTGAACAGGCAAGGTTTTGAATCCTGAAATGCATAGGAAGTGCATATCAAGACCTGTATGCCGAGGCTCGACTGATGAAGCTGGACATCTCGACAGTGATGGACTTGCCGAGGGCCGATCGCTCTATCCAGGCCAGCTTAATAGACCATATTGGTACTGGGATGATCAGTGTAGCATTGGTCGCCTATAGAATGTGGTTGCACTTGCAGGTCACGTCGCCGATATTGCCGACAGAAAACTCTCTGCGAACTGCGGGTAGTGACTGCGCCATCGAGAATGGTGGTGCTGATGATGATTGTTGAAAGGTTGTAGTTATAGCTGTGCTCTGGGTTGATCTCCGATGACGCACGGGCGAATGGGAGATGACGGTTTGGAAAGCGGCGGCCTGTCTGCCCCCCGCGCCGGAGTCGGAGCGGGAGCTGAGGCGTGCGCCGCGGAATTATTGAGTCACCCCTCCAAGCTCAGTCGACACTTTTTTCCACCTGCACCACCGCTCCTTCTCTTTCGCTTTCAGTTTTCTCTCCGTGCCTCTTTGCCTCCTCCCCCCTTCAATTGCTCCGCGAAACCTCGAACCCACGTCTGCAGACTCGCTCAAAATGTCGGCGCACCCCACCATCCTCCTCCGCTCTGAGACCAAGCCGCTCGAGCACCGCTCGTTCGCTCCCTCGACTATTGAGGCGCTGGTCAAGGCCGGCTACCCTGTTGAGGTCGAGCGCTCGTCAACCAAGCCCGAGTTCCGCCGCATCTTCGACGATGCCGAGTATGAGGCCGCCGGCGCCACCCTCGTCCCCGAGAACAGCTGGAAGTCCGCCGCCCCGGGCTCCAAGCTGATTCTGGGTCTCAAGGAGATCGAGGAAGAGGACTTCCCTCTGACCAACGACCACATTGCTTTCAGCCACTGCTACAAGAACCAGGGTGGTTGGGAGAAGGTTCTGTCGCGGTTCCCGCGCGGCGGCAGCGTGCTGTACGACCTTGAATTCTTGGTCGACGAGCAGGGCCGCAGAGTCAGTGCCTTCGGTTACCACGCCGGTTTTGCCGGTGCTGCGCTCGCCGTCAAGATGTGGGCGTGGCAGCTCCAGCACCCTGGTCAGCAGCTGCCCAGCGTTGAGCAGTTCACCGAGGGCCGTGGATACTACCTGAACGAGGCAGAGCTGGTCAAGCAGATTGCCGACGATGTCGCTACCGGCGAGAAGATACTTGGCCGCAAGCCATCTGCCTTCATCATGGGCGCCCTTGGCCGTTGCGGCCGCGGTGCCGTCGACCTGTTCGTCAAGGCCGGTCTGCCAGAGAGCAGTCTCGTCCAGTGGGACATCAACGAGACCAAGGACAGGCTGGGCCCGTACCAGGAAATCGTCGACCAGGACATCTTTGTCAACGCCGTACGCTCCACCGCGCCTCTTCGCTTCCGACTGACGAAATGCTAACTGGAGCAGATCTACCTCTCCAAGCCCATTCCTCCCTTCATCAACAACGACCTGCTCTCCGCTGCCGGCCGTAAGCTGAGCGTCGTCTGTGATGTTTCTTGCGATACTACCAACCCCCACAACCCCATCCCCGTCTACACCATCAACACCACCTTTGACAAGCCTACTGTGCCTGTCGAGGTCAAGGGCGACAAGAACGACATTCCTCTCTCTGTTATCTCGTAAGTGATACTCGCCAAGGGCAACACCACATACAGCTAATTCGTGGATAGTATTGATCACCTCCCTTCTCTCCTTCCTCGTGAGGCGTCTGAGTCTTTCAGTGCTGGTCTGCTCGAGAGCTTGCTCCAGCTCAAGGACAGGAAGACCGCGAGGGTCTGGGCTGACGCCGAGAAGCTCTTCAATGAGAAGGTTGCCACCCTGCCCGAGGGCCTGAGGAAGAAGGAGGCGTGACTACCCGCCAAACTTTGAGAGAACATGGCTGCACGATTAGTTTGACGTCATTCTGTGCATATTTACCACCAAAGCATATACCATAGCTTTGCATCTCTTTGGACGATATGGAACGGCGTTTTGGGTAGAACAAAAGGGACTTGTGTAGGACTCGATCACAGCTCGCTCATAGACAAGATGCTTATTTTCGAGAGTGCGGCATGAAGAGCCAATGTCTATTCATACAGCCAGTGGAGAAAGGGTCGCGCAAATCCACAACTTATTCAACGAGCAAATGCTGACGAATGCTCCTGCAAAACCCAAAATTGCATAACCGTTTCCCACATGTTTGCAAAGCTTGTGCTGTACAATACCTTCCATTCTCTCATATTGACCATTGCCGCGTATTCAAGAGCGGTTATGGTGCCTGGTCTCGCTCACGCGATAATCTCGCAACTTTTTCCCTCGCAAGCTCATCCATCTTATTCTCGAATGTATAGTGACCTCTCCACAACGGAGCTTCGGGCTCCAAGTAGAGATGCTTTTTCTTCCAATTTTTTTTTACATGCCGAACATGCCGCCGGCGCCACCTTGCCTGGCGGCGGCCTCGCCCTGCATCTTCTCGCTGACCTTGGTGTGGACGTCGAAGAACTTGCTAACGCAGCGGTCGAGGCAGACGGACTCGCCCTTGTCAAGCTCGGCTTCGCGGTAGGTGGTCGGGATGCACTTCTTGGTGCAGCTAGAAACGAGGCTGGGAAAAGGGTCAGCCAAACCAGCGATATAAAAGGTGCTGCTGACGGAGGTGGACAGAGAAAGGATGGCCAATCGCTTCGCAGGGAAAGAGAGGCCAGTTGGTATGTATATGGGAACCACGGGCGAGGATGTGGATGCGCGCGCTTGCGCACTGCCTCTCTCGTGTTTTTGCACTGGGACCGTACCGGTTGAACATGTCGGACACCATCTCGACCTCAGTCTCGGCAGCAGCGATTTTCTGCTCCGACGAGGGCTGGGGGCGGCCGCCGAACAGGGAGAAGGACATGTTGGATGGTTTGTGGAGGGAGGGGCGACAGAGGTGGTGGCGGCGCGCGTTGCGTGGTGGGCGGCGAGTTTGGTTTCTGGAGCGCGAGTAGGTAGTCGGAGAGGGCAGGTTGGTCCACGGCACCAGCGGGCCCGCAATGTGATGTCGTCGTTCGGCTCGGCGGGCGACGCGGAAAGTAGTCGTTGCCAGCACTCTGTCACCAGATATGTAGCTAGACGGCGGATTCTGAACAAAATCAGCTGATGCGACCGTGGGTGGAGGCTGACGATATATTTCTACGCGTAGCAATGAGCATCATTGTCTCGAATGGCCTTGAGATGACAATATTGATACAAATTTTCTTGATTCCAGCATGACGGTTTGCGGCCACGTCTATCCGCCACGATGCATGATGGGAGCTTGGACCACCATGATCGCGCATGATTTTTCCTCCAGCGCCATCTCGTTCGCATTCTTCTTCATCACCACGCCTCCACTGTTGCGGAGGTGCACGCTGTACATGTACGTCTCTTCTGTTATCTGCACCACCTTACGTTCTCTTCAACACACCTTACGTGATGAATGGATAAAAAAAGAACCGTTGCGAATGACGCTACGGCGGTTGATTTCACAATTTACCTCTACCCAGTCTGACCTTTCCCACTTGCACACTTGCTATGCTCGCCACTAGTCCTAAGACTTCCTTGGTACTGACTATGGACACCAGAATGAATAGCTCGTGTCGCATCCTGCGCCCATACCTGCACCACGCGCTTCAACGGTCCGTGAAGGCTGAGCACGCCAGGGCCTATCTGTCGTTCCAGCGCCGGTTCGCTCAGACGACGACCAAGCCTGCAGACGCAGAGAATGTCACAAACGACTACGAGAAGCGTGTTGAGCAATTGAAGCAGGCTGGCGACTTGGCGACATATTATCCATTGAACCCTCACAAAGCAGATCGGACAACTGCGCGACGCGTCCACGAAGTGTTCGCCCGCTTGAAGAACGATGAGGTCAGGACGGACGTGACGGTGACGGTTTTTGGTATGTGTGTCCATAGTTTTGTAATAGAAGGACAACTACTACAGGACGCGGTGGCATCCGAGAGATCCGACGGCCATGTTCTGCTCAAATGTCTTGTGATTCTTTCGTGAGAGCTCGCGCTGACGAGTGCAGGCAGGGTGACTTCCCGCCGCTCGTCTGGCTCCAAGCTCGTGTTCCTCGACGTATACGATGGAGGCTACACCATTCAGGGCCTGTGCAATTTCGGCGTTCTCGAGAGGCATGGTGTACCCAAGGAGGATTTCAAGCGCTTCTCCAAACTGGCTCGCAAAGGAGACATCTTTGCCATAACCGGCCACCCAACCCGTACGACCAGTGGCGAGCTTTCCATCCTGGCCACCGAGGTGCCAAACTGCCTTGCTCCATCTCTGCACCAAATCCCCGACGCGGTCGAGAATCCGGAGACACTTGCTCGCCAGCCGCATGTTGACTTTTTGGTACACCAGCGCCGCGCTGCCATCCAGCGCATTCGTTCTGGCATCGTCAGCTCGATGCGGAACTTCTTCGACGGGGATGGGTTTGTCGAGGTCAGCACGCCCATATTGACAGCCGGAGTTGGTGGCGCGTCCGCAAGACCTTTCGAGACCAACGCGAACGAATTCCCCGATGATCCTCTTACCCTTAGGATAGCACCGGAGCTTTTCCTCAAACGTCTGGTCATCGGTTCCGGGGAAAGAGTCTACGAGATTGGTACTGTGTTCAGGAATGAAGGTGTGTGAAAGTCTCCACGGGATGTAATGAGTTCGACATGTTAACATCAGTAGGCATCGATGCGACACATAACCCAGAGTTCACAATCTGCGAGTTCTACGAGCCATACGCCAACCTCGAGGACCTCATCGAACGCACCGAGACCCTCTTCTCCGTCCTCAAGACCACGGTCGACAAGCTCGCGCAAGAGAACAGCGTCGTCCGCGACAACATCGCACCCCTCGCACTGGACCTCCAAGCGCCCTTCAAGCGCCTCGAATTCATCCCCACCATCGAGGCCGCCATCAACCGCCGCCTGCCCGACCTCAGCGCGCCCACCGCCTTCGACGACCTCACCGCCCTCTTCAAGGACGACCTGGACGTGCCCGTCCCCAAGGACGCGACGCTGCCGCGCCTCCTCGACGAGCTCGCCAGCCTCTACATCGAGCCGCTCTGCGCCGCGCCCACCTTCATCACGCACCACCCGGCGGCCATGGCGCCGCTGGCCAAGAGCGCCGTCGACCCGGCCACGGGGCAGGCCGTGTCGCGCCGCGTCGAGCTCTTCGTCGGCGGCCGCGAGTACGTCAACGCGTACGAGGAGGAGAACTCGCCCTTCGAGCAGCGCCGCAAGCTCGAGGCCCAGCTGCGCCTGCGCGACCCCGACGAGCGACTGCTCAACGAGCGGGGCGTCGACGAGGGCTACGTCGAGGCGCTGGAGTGGGGGCTGCCGCCCACGGGCGGCTGGGGCTGCGGCGTCGATAGGTTGGTCATGTTGTTTTCTGGCGCGAGCAGGATTGCGGACGTGCAGCCGTTTGGCACGTTGAGGAATGTTGTGGCGTTGGGGAAGGGAAGGGTGGGGCAGTCGTGAGTGAGTGAGTGAGTGCGTCAAGCTGGTGGGTGTATGTGATGGCAGCTAATAGCAATCAAGTCGCTGTTGCTTCCTAATTTGCGTACTCTTTTTTCTCCCCTCATCCTTTGGATGGTGATAGTATGAGCGGAATGATGCGATCGATCATTTTGTCGACGCAAAACTGCACTTGGCATCTTGATCCAATTTCTGGCCTTGGCGATCACGCTCCTGTAGCTAAGTCCTCAAGTGATGTATTGCAGCCTCCGTAGTACTGACAGTCCAAAACTAGCAACTCACAAGATGAATGCTATCTGCATGTGTGGTGCTTTGGCATGGCCTTATCACACAACCTCCACCCATGAGAAGCCAAGGCGATGAGCCGTTCGCATATGGACCAAGAGAGCCGTAGCAAATCTCTCAATAAGCATACCTAAACGCATCGCAAAACAGCCTCGCAGTCGCCAGCCGGTCCAAAAACTAGTGCTTGTAGGGTTTCCAAAAAGAAGAAAGAAAAAAGCTACCTCAAGCATACTTGACCTTCTTCCCCGATGCCGTCGGTACCGTCGTCCTCCAAGACACCTCGATACCCTGGCCTCGGGCCCACTCGATGGCATCCGAGGAGATACTGGTGCACCAATCCAGGTTTAAATACTCCAAGCCCTCGCTCGCTCGCTTCTCGTCTGGTCCACCACCGTTCGAGGGCGCTCGGTTTCGAAGTTCCTTGATGAGCATCTTGATGCCGACACCGGTTATCTTGCAGCTGGGGATGCTGAGACGTCTGAGGTTGCGGTAATGGTCTGCATCCACAGTTAGCATCGAGGCGAGCGAAGGGGGTCGTTTGACGGGGGTTCGGGAAGCACCGATGATTGCTTGCGCAAATGCGACTTCATCAGGGAATTCGGCCTGTACAAGAGTCAAGTCCTCGGCGCCGTGGAGACGAGGCAGCTCAGTCAGGAGCCTGATGATTTCTTCCGACGAGCTCGAGGGACAGCGTTCCAGCCAAAATTTGCGGAGAGAGCTGTCATCGGGATGGTTAAGGGATTCGCCATGGGTTATTTTGTAGGAGTCATCTTCGGCAACTTCGCTGTTGGATTCGTGTAGAAGGGCGTGTATGAAGGAACGAGTATTATCACGCTCCGCACCCTCATTGACGTAGTTGAGCTCTTCGATGACTGGTAGGTTAGTTTCTGCCATCCTTATCATGGAAGGATGTCCGCTCCACCCCCAACTGGCTGTTAGAGTAAGATGTTTGATAGACTTCGGCAGGCGAGGCTGTGATGCGAAGAAGGTGTTGATAAGATGCAAAGTCTCAAGATGCTGGAGGCTAGTGAAGTCTGCGTTAACGGCAAGGCCCATGTGGTACTTCCAGCCTGTGAGGACTAATTTTTTAATGTTTGGTATATGATTGATGAGCTCAGTCTGTGGAATATGTAAGTGAGGAGATTCTTGACCTGTGCACAAAGTGGGAACCTACTGGAGCGAGGACATGGACACCAAGCTCTTGGACGCTGCCAGCCCCCAGGGAAAGAGATTGGAGATTGGGAAGGTCGGTGTCCCAAGTTGCATCCCTTCGAGCCTCAATGTACTCGAACTCGGCGGTGACCAGCGTGAGTCGCGCCTTCAGGATCTGAGTGACGACGTCCAAGGTAATGGCGGCGAACCTGCCAAGTTTGAGGGATCGTAGAGCAGGGCAGTGAAGTACGGGATCTTTAATGGAGGAGCCAGATAACTCGGAGCCCAGAAACTCGAGTGCTTCCAGTTTACGGCAGGCCTTGACGAGCTTCATGACCATTTCCGGGTCTCTCATCCGATTGAACTTGGCGGTATGCAACAGGAAGGCGTTGGTCCTCTTGTCTTTGGAGCGATATATGCAATTTCGAACGAAAGCCTGCGGCACAGGCCTCCGGGCGAGGGATAGATCCAGCTCTGACCACAGCACCGCCTGATGTGACAGGAAGTCTCTCCAGTGCTTGGACACGCGTAGGCAAGTTCTAGAGTGTGTCAACAAAGCAGAATGCGGCGACGGTGAGAGGATGGCGTCGTACACTCGCTGCTTGAAATTCAAGTGCTCCATGACCAAGTCCATGACCTCGGCAGGGAGCACAACAATGGGATCTTGGGACTTTGGCGGGGTCAGTCGCCGGGTCAGTTCGTCGCGTTTCGCTTGCATCAACTGCATGTATCAGCACCCGCAACAGGATGGGTCAAGAAGCACGTACACGAATCTTCTCGGGGTCCTCGGACGGGCAGCGGCGGAGACCCAGCTTGTAGACCTCAATGGCCATTTCAGGCTTCTCTTGCAAGTGCAGGACCTGGCCCATGCGAAGATAGCCGCGGGCATCCTGGGCGGCGTGCTTGGTCATTTTCCTGCCTAGGGCCAGGGCTGAAATCAGATCGCCGAGCTTGATGTGGCAGGCGACGGCCATGTCCAGGAACCTGATGTCGCTGGAGGCAGACGCGCCGAAGGCCTATCGACTTGGTTCAACACGATTCATGACGGAGCCGACGCGACACTGACATGGATAAATGCCTTGAGGGCACGCTCGTAGTTCCGCTGGCCGTAGAACGCCTTGCCGAGCTCGAGAAGCTCGGCGGCAGACTGTGTGTGCGGCATGGCGGGCAACTGGAGGGGATGGACATGGGCTAAGCGAGAGCGAGACGCGTTGAGGATGGGAGACGCGGCGTGGTTGATGGCGCCTGCGCCCTCGAGTGTGGGGCGTAGGGCTGAGCTGTGCCCGAGCCGTCGGCGACAGTCGACACAAACCCCGACCAGAGCTCCAAGCTTTTGCGACCCGCCCACGCCCAGCTGCTCCCGCTCCCGCTCCAGCTCCAGCTCCAGCTCCACTCCCACCCTGCCGCCCTGCCGCCCTGCCACCCTGCAACTGCCGCCCGCCACCATGAGCAGCATCGACGACATCTTCAAGAAACCACACCTCCCCAGCAACAAGCGCAAGCTCGAGCCCATCACCAACCCCGACCAGGTCTACAAGTCCGCAAAGCTGCAATCCAACGGCGACGCCAAGGGCAAGGGCCGCGCTACCGTAGAAGATGCCGAGGACGACAACGACGATGCAGAGGCCGGGCCCGCACCGCCTCCGGAGGACGGCGACGAGGAGGAGCAGGACTTTGGCGACGAGGACGAGGAGGGCCGCTTCTTTGGCGGCGGCATGGACAAGACGACCGCCTCGGCCATGAACTACGTCGACCGCGCAGACGAGGAGCCCTTCGTGCCCGAGACCATTGATAGGTCCTGGCTGCGGAAGCTGGCCCTCAACTTCGAGAAGAGAATATCCAAGAACGCCGAGCTGCGAGCCAAGTTCGAAGACGACCCCCAGAAGTTCATGGCCTCAGAGGCCGACCTCGATGCCGATGTCAAGTCGCTGAGCGTACTGTCCGAACACGCGGAGCTATACGCCGAGTTTGCGAAGCTGGGCTGTGCAGGCAGCCTGGTGGGTCTGCTGGCCCATGAGAACACGGATATCGCCATCGATGCCATTGAGATCATCTCCGAGTTGACCGACGAAGACGTGCAAGCAGAGCAGGAACAGTGGGATGCGCTTGTGAATGCTATGCTGGAAGCGGACTTGCTTAGCCTGATGACATCGAACCTTGAGCGTCTCGACGAGGGCAATGAGACAGACAGGAGTGGCGTCTACCACTCGCTGAGCATTGTGGAGAATCTAGCTTCCAACACCACCATTGCCGAGATCATGGCCAAGGACTACGCTCTCGTCAAATGGCTTATTTCTCGTGCCCAGAAAAGAGAATCCCCCGTCTCTCAGAACAAGCAGTACGCTGCCGAAGACCTCGCCATCCTAGTCCAGAGCTCCGTTCCGAACCGCCTTTCCCTCATCTCCTTTGACGGCGTGGACACGCTCCTCCAACTACTCGCCTATTACCGCAAGCGCGATCCTCCGAAAGAGTCGGATGAGGAAGAATTTGCTGAAAATCTGTTCGATTGCCTGACGTGTCTCGTCGACGAAGCTGATGGCAAGACCAAGTTCGTGGAGGCTGAAGGCATTGAACTCTGCCTGATTATGCTGCGGGATAGCAAGTTTGCCAAGCCGCGAGCATTACGTCTGTTGGATCATGCCCTTGGCGGGCCACCAACCAGTGCTGCGGCCGTCTGCGAGCATTTTGTCGAAGCAGCCGGACTCAAGACGGTATTTGGCATGTTCGGTAAGAAGCAGGACAGCGCAAACACAGAACACCTGATAGGCATTCTGGCATCATTACTTCGCAGCCTACCTGGAGACAGCGCGGGGCGGATACGAACGTTGGCCAAGTTTGTCGAGAAGGACTACGAGAAAATCGCGCGCCTTGTCCAGCTCCGCCGCGAGTATTCGTCTCGGTTAGCTGCGGTGGAGCAGCAGATCAAGCGCGAACAGGCTGAGCTGAGACCCGAGGCGCGCGAGGAGCTTGCCGATGAATGGTTCCTGCGCCGGGTTGACGGGGGACTGTTCTGTCTACAAACCATCGATGTAAATCTGGCATGGTTGGTAGCTGAGGACGGTGGGGCTAGGAAGCGAATTGTCGAGCTTCTGGCCGACAGGGATGAGAGCTTGAAGGAGGTGAAGACGACATTGCAGGAGCAGATGAACGGCATTACTGGCGACAATTTGAGCGAAGAGGAGCTGATGCTCAAGGATATGCTGGGTATCCTAATTGGATTCTTGGAGTAGTCGAGATGAAGGCTTCGGATATGGAAAGTGATTCAGGGACACCAGGTAGATGACCCTTTTCATGATTGTAGTATGTATACATAGTGCATAGTAAGGCGCCTCGTTGACATTAGGAGTATATAACTCCAATACCTAGGTTCAACATTTAAAATACCCGCAACATTACATTACTTGTTCAAATGGGCCAGCAAGTCTATATCGATGCCTTCAACAACAAGGCTGGCAGCGATACTCAAGCGCAATTCTTCACTAAAGACGTACGCCCGGCTCTTCCTCTCCTACCACCTCCCATTCTTTTATCCACCCTTCCAGGCCGCAAAGTCGCACAAACCCCCCCCCTCTTTTCCAATCAGTGCATACACAACGCACACATTACACTTGAAGCGCCCTGGTTAAAAACATTGGGGAAAAAACGGCACCAGGAGATGACAACCATCTCCAGTAGCAGCGTTGTTGGATACCTGATAGGATCGAGGAGATGTTATGGGTGACTAAGAGAGAAGCAGTTCCGGCATGCGGGGAATCCTCACCGTTCCTGAACCTCGGGTATCTCGCATTCGACTCACACTCTACCAAACCCCCACCTTCACATTTGACGCTTGGAAAACCACACTAGAGGCAGCCTATTAGATTACAAGGTATGTTTCAAATTCCCAGACCTCAAGCCATCGTTGGCTGAACAACGTCGAAGAGATCTGGAGCATCTGAGGAACTGCCAAAGACCATGAATAACTGGTGGAGGCCTAAGTGATGATTGACTCCTAATTATCTGCAGGATACCCTCTCCTCGAAAGAAATTCCACAAAACCTCACAGATCCGCCAAGGGAGCAGTTAAAAAAAAATAGAGAGCCAGAATGAGCTGCCCAGTCCATCGCAAATATCCGCTACGTCAGCCAAAGAACTACAAGCCTCCAGTGCCTCGCTGGCAGCTCCACCTCCCACCCGGAATCGACCGCGTCTACACCATCTACGTTGGCGTCCAGCAACACGCATGTGATGCAGCGACCCAAGCCGTCGCCTCAAAAGCCAAAGACTCCATCGCCTACTGGATTACCACGGCCGCCCAGCCCTCCGCCTACGAAACCTTCAGCTTCGTCGAAGGCGACGACGAGCCCCGCTCCGACATTTGGGTATGCTACTTCACCGACCGCGCCGCCTACGAGCAGAGCGCGTGTGACCTCAGCCTGCGCACTCTCCACGCATCCCTGGACACCTCGGGCGCGGGCGCCAACAAGAATGTCGGCCTGTGGTGCGAGCGCTTCTCCACCGCGGCGTCGCGCCTCGAGACGAACTACTCGGGCCTCGACTACCTGCCGGGCCTCGCCCGCATCCCCGACACGGCCGCCGTCGAGCACACCTACTCGGCGTACTGGGGCGCCGCGAGAGATCGCATCCCGGACTCGGCGCACGATTTGTTTCCTCGGCCGCCGTCTTCTCCCTCTTCCGACGATGATGGCAATGGTGACCAGAGGGAGCAGACGACGACGACGACGACGATTCCCCCCTCAGGGCGGGGGCAGCGGCTCGTCGGGACGAACTACGAGAACATGGTGCACATCCGCTCCGGCCAGTTCTGGAAGGGCTGCGACGAGGGCGAGGCCCGGGCGTACGAGGACGTGCTTGAGCCGGCGTTGATGACGGGGCTGCGGTACCTCTGGGCGAATGCGGCCGACACCGGGACGGTTGGGCTGAGGTTCGTGCGGAACGCGGGTGGTGATGGTGATGATGATGGCCGGGCGAGACAGGAGACGTGCGCGGCTGGCTTCTTTAGGAGCCTGGGAGACTTGGAGAACTGGGCTGAGAGGCATCCGTCGCACAAGGCGATATATTTGGGCGCCATCAAGCACGCGAAGACGTTTGGACCGGAGCGGAAGATGAGGACGTGGCATGAGGTCTCCGTCTTGAAGGCTGGCGAGGCGCAGTTCGAGTACGTCAATTGCACGCCGAAGACTGGGGTGATTGGGTCTGTGGGTTTGCATGTGGAAGAGCTGTAGGTGGTACATATTGTATGTGCCCATGGACGCTGTGCCCGTAGTCTATCAAGCTTGCATGAGGTGATGTTAATCGTGACACTTGCACCTTCGATTGGAGATATCCATTAACTACCTTGAGCTTCGCCTTGAGCATACACCAGTCTACTCTTGAACAAAAGGTTTGTGCTGTTCTGGACGACAGTTTGCCGTTGCCGCTTCTCTTAGAAGTTGGAATCCCTTCTATCTTTCTCTGCCAACTTCTCCATCTCTCCGGGCCGAGCAAGGCCCTTCGCAACCAGCTTTCCCGGTGCGGCACTCTGGATCGAACCCGGCCATCTGTTCTTCAGCCTCGACGCCTCGCCATCATCCACAGGGCCATCAGCTCCCCCATCGAGCCTCTGCCGCCCACCAAACTGCACAGCGCCACCCTGCATCATCGGGCGAGCGCCGAAATCGAATCCCTGCCTACCCTTGACCCAGCTCTCCCTATATTGACTGCACCGGCCACCTCCACCACCACCGCCCCGCACCATCGCCGCCCCATCCGCAAACCTAACACTCTTCCCCACCGCACCGCGACCGTGATCGCGATCCTGACCCGCGCCCACCCTGATGATCGGCGCCGGCGCCATCCTGCTCTCCTCCGCCCTCCGCAGCTCCTTCTCCCGCCATTCGCGGAACCGCACGTACGCCGCCGGGTCTTCTTCTCCTTCTTCTCCTTCTCCCCGCTCCTCGTACCCTTCTCCTCCCTCCTCTACCTCCTCCACCCCCTCCGATCCCTCCATCATCATCATCATCTCCCCCGATCCGGCCGTCGTCGTCCTCGTCATCATCCGAGCGTGGGCCGGCGGCCTGCCGTCGCCGATGGCGCCGGGCGCGTGGCGCGGGGTGCGGCGGGCGTGCGGCTCGCGCGGGCGGGAGGGGGGCAGGAGGGCGTCGCAGGCCCAGCGGTGGATCTCGGCGTCGGTGGCGGCGAGGGCGGCTCGTGCTGCTGGTGGTGTTGCTGCTTCCTGTTCTTGTTCTTGTTGGTGGTGGTTGCGGTTGTTGTTGTTGTCGGTCACCGTCGTCGTCGTCGTCTCCTCCTCGGGGAAGAGGACGGCGAGGAGGGAGGAGGGGAGGGGGTGGGTGTGCGGGCGGTGGTGGATGCGGTGGATGGTTGGGGGGGCGGCGGCGGCGGCGGCGGTGTTGTTGTCAATGCCGTCTGCGTTGGCGGAGGCGAAGACGGCGGCGGTAGTTGCGGTAGATGTGGTGCCGTTGTTCCTCTTCTTCCTCTTCTTCGTCTTCTTGTTGCTGTCCTCCCTGTAGAAGCTGGTCGTCGAGGTCGACACACGGCCACCGGTTCTGGTAGAGGTCGTGGGTGTCGGGCTCAGAGGCGGCGCTGCGGGGCCAGTCGTCTTGGCCGGAGTGTAGGATGCGTCCGAACGATACAGGTCGGTGCGGAACAACTGGGATCGGAACCCGTTATCTATCTTCTTGGACGAGGGGGGTGGTGGCAATGACGCGCTTTGGTCAGCGAGCTGGCCGCGGTCGGTCATACCAGAATGAACATCACTCTCGCTCTGCTGCTCTTGAGCGCCTTCGCCATCCTCCTCACGCTCCGTGGAGGCCGAGTCGTCTGCGCTGGACCGGTCTTGGGTCTCGGTCTGAGCGCGGGCCTGCTCGAGCTGCTCGATGTGCTCCCTCTCAATCCTGTCGGACACACGGTCTCCCTCTGTCCATTCTTCACGGTAGTACGGGCGGGGGGTGTCGTAGAAGGGAAACTCGGGCGATGGCAGCTGCGGGGGGCCTGAAGACGGCGCGTTGAACATGCGCGGCTGCGACGGAGGTGACGGGGGCTCGAACGGCGGCGGACTGTACATGTGCGCCTGTGATAGAGGCGGCGGCGGCGGCGGCGGCACGAACGATGACGCGTTGTACGTTTGTGACAGAGGCGACGGAGTGTATGCAAGCGCAGACCCGTAAATGGGCGCGCCGGGAACGAAGTCATGTGCCATGGGAGAGAGTGAAGAGCGCGGAGTCTGTTGCTGGTGCGGATGAGAACAGAGATCTAGATGTTTTGGCGAGAATCAGTGTTTCCTTGAGAGGTGGCTGTGAAGTGGTGTTTTTGCTTACCTCGGCGCGGACGACGCGTTTCGGACCAGTAGTAGTCCATAGCAACGGGCGCCCCTACTGGCGCAGAAGGATAAGGTGTAGAGTTGCACGTCTGTGGTTGGAGCAGGAAGCAAAGCAGAGCAGAAGAGATGGGTATCCGTAGGAGAGGTGGTCTACTCGAGCGGCATTGAACATGGCTGTGAGGGTCGTTGGAGAAGAGTGACTGCGGACGCTCCGAGTGCCAGGCTCTACTCGATATATCCAAGCGAAGCAGCTGGAGCGCGTGCGAGTGTGTTTACTTCGGGTGGCGATAGGCGCGCGTTTGAAGCATTTCCAGAACATGCAAACCGGCAGTCTGCATTTCGACAGTCTCCATCCCGCCAGCCGACCGATGGCGAACAAAGGGCCCTTGCATTGTGATGGCCCACGTTCCTATCTATATTCTGGATCGAGAGCCGCGGTGGTCGAAAGGTGATAGTAAGGTGCAGTCGAGACTATATATATATATATATATATCTTTACAGTCATTTCCCAATGCAGAATGGTGCGCTCCGTCTGCACGGACTCTTGAACCAGCCACTATTTCCTTGGCGTTCTGACATCAGACTTTCCTGTTTGACTACTTGGAGAAGGAACCTCATGAGAAGATTCGAGGGTGGTATGCAGTTCTGTTCCCCCAAAGTCTGCCATTTGTAAGCGCAAGGATCACGCCTTCCGTGCAACAGACACACCATGACATGTTTTGAATTCTTCAATACAGAGACAAGTTCTCCTCAACGGAGAGCCCGCAAAGTCTCCGTGCCATTCATATTTGACTATCTTTCAATGTATTCAGATACTTGTGTAGTGTGATCGTAATCTCACTCGATCTGGTGAATTTGGTATACCCCAACGCCGGTGCTTAGAACAGAGATTATCACGTTAAAGAGAGAAGAAGAAGAAAAGAAAAAGAGAGCATCTAGCTAGACCTTGGAGGGGCCAAGAGCCTTGCCCCTCTTGGGCAGAGTCCAGGGCTTTTCGCAAACGATCTGATCAGAGTCAGCATTACTCGTGGATAAAAGCTGGTGGCTGCAGAACATACCTCGCCCTCGCTATAGGCCCAAAAGTATACAATCATTCCAATAATGTAGTACAGGCCGGCATTGGTGCCCTGGTAAAGCAGGAGAGCGACCAAGGCGCTCAAAGGGTAGATGATTAACCGCATCTCAATCGAGCGATGGAAGCCCGAGCCGGCGATGAAGCTGAGCGGCCACTCGTAGCACACGCCCAGGATGCCGAGAATGAGGTTGATTATCTGGAGTGCAGGCACGGGTTTGACGGCGCCATCCAAGTTCTTGGTGAGGAAGTCCCAGAAGATCTTGGGCCAGAAGAAACCCTCAATCGCGGCGGCAACCTGGTCTGGCGGAGGTCAGCAAGAGCGCGTCGTGGTGGCAGTGGTGGCGTGAGACGTACAGGCAGCGGCGGTGAGGACAATGAGGCGAGCCCAGTGGTTTTTGATTAGCTTGCCCATGGTGGCAGTATTAAAAAGGATTTGAGCGAATGTGAAACTGTTGTAGAAAAAGACCCGACCAGCGGAGAAGCGAACGTGAGGCGCAGATTGAGCAGTATTGGGGCTACTGGCTCAGAAAGGCGCTTCCGGGCGGACGACGCTGGTAGGTATAGTCGCTACAGAGACAGAGACAGACAGATGAGGTGACGGTCAGGGCGGAGCTCTAGGCGTGGCGGAAGCGCAAGCGGTCTCAAGATGTCGGGACGACTGAGCTGTAACGCTGGCGACGTGGGGGGGGGCATGGCGGGCTTTAGGTGGTTTTGCGTTGGCATTGACGATGCGCGGCGGGGAGGAGGATCGCATGGATGGCTGCAGGCAAGCGGCTGGCGTGCCTGGGCGTCGGCTGCACGTCGCAGCTATGCGCCCGCGCGCCGATTAAGCGCCCGCGGCCGAACCAGGGCGCGCCACAGCACCCTCCAGGCCAGCAAATGGCAGCCTGCAGCCGCCCGCGCAGCCTCCCCGATCCGCAATTAGCCTGCCCTGCACGCAAAATGTCACACCCGCACTGAAGTGACACCTGCGCTGCCTGCACCGATTGGCACGCCCGCCCACCACCGCCTCCACGCTACCATCATTCGGCCGCCGACCGCTGCCGTCGTCCGCAAACGGGAGCCCGGCTCGTGCGCGGTGCAGAATGAGGCTTTCGATATCACAGAACCGAGTCCGAGTCTGCCGCTCCAGCCGTCCGCCCATCCTCATTGTCATGAACCCGGAGTCAATGCTGGCGTCGAGCCGCCGCAGAGGCGGTCTGACAAGTCCCCGTGGCGATCAAGATCCGGTTTTTCGGCCATGACGAGTCTCAATCATTCTCAGCCCGTGCGGCGGGCCGATGAGGCAACAGGTGTTCGAGGCGGTTGATGCCGGCGACTGATCATGCATCGCCCACCGTCGCAGCGGGCCCAGCACGGAAGGCAGTGTGGCAGCTTTCCAGAAGGCTCATCGCGAGAGCGCCAGCGACGATATCGCCAAGCCGGCCAAGCTCTGTCCTGGGTGCATGTACCCATCGCAGTATCGCCGACAGCGGCCAGTGCACACGGAAGCGGAGTTGCGATTGGCGGTGCTGATGCTGGCAGCCTGGCTGCTGCAAGCCCCAGCACAGGCCCAGGCACAATGTCAAGCCCAGGCACGCGAGCGATGGGCTCGTCCGGCAGCATCTGGATGCGCGGCAGTGGCTCTGGAGCTGGTGGGGGCGGGCGCAGTCACATGGCGGCATCTCTGGTGTTGAGCGTGGCACTGCCGGTGGCCCGGCCTTTTGGGCGGCGGCACGGCGGGGTGCGTAAGCGTCTGCCCGAGGGAGCCGTCGAGGGAGGAGAGCGCTTCGAGACGGGCGTTCGTTGGCTGTGCGGGGACGAGGCAGGCCAAGGCAGGCCAAAGCAGGCCAAAGCAGGCCAAAGCAGGCCGAGGCAGGCAACAGGGGTCCAGCGCATCCCGCTCGCTAAGCTGTCGACTGGCCAGGGGCCGCTCATGCCCCGGTCACCGCCTTGCGCCCTCGGTGCCGCCGTCCAAAAAACTCGCCTCTCTCGCTCTCGCAACGCCGCTCGCACTGGAGCCAAGCCGGCCATGGAGTCTTCCGCGCCGTACAGAGATGGCGGCAGGGATCGCCGCTGCCTGCCGTCCATCCAGCTGCGCCGCCTATCTATCCACTGCATCCCGCCCCGTGGCTGCCGCTCTCGGCCTGCCTGCAGCTGCTCCTCGCCGTGAAGAGAAATACTACTACTAGTATACCCGTTGGACCCTCTCGCGCTACACGGCACATCTGCATTCCGGACGCTGTTGTCGTTGTTGTTCTGGCAAGCCTCACACGCTCACACGCTCCCACGGCGCTGCACGTTTCGCAGCCACACCCGCCACGTCTCGAGCGATCGAGGAAAATCAGGCAGCGCGACAACAACTCTCCCCCCCGGGCCCCGCTCACCAAGGCAAACGTCACTGTCCGCGAATATCGAGGCGCCGCAGCTCTTCGCGCCGGTGCAAGCGCGCCGACGAGGAACGTAAACGTTGCCGGCCAATCGCCCTCAGCACCGCCACGCTGCCTTTGCTTCAGCAGCCGCCCTTGAAGCCTCATTGTCAACCAGCGCACGCCTCGCAAATCGGCGTAGTCTGACCGCAGACGCCACCAACGGTGAGGAAGGCCAAGAGCCAGGGCTACCACCAGACAAAAGTCGAATATGCATGCGCACGGAGCGTTGCAGATTTGACACATCAGTCCGACGCCCTCGCGACGGTTCAGCCCCTCGAGCTGCCCCGCGCCCGCTACGATATCCGTGCAGCCTCTACATCTGCATGATTGACGACACCCTTCCGGCCACTGCCCTGAAAATCCCCACTCGGAACTGCTGCTTCCTGGCCTAGGCATTCAAGCTACCGCCAAGCTCCCGTCCGGAACGACTGGAGCCTCCCTTTTCTGGCCTCACTACCCCGTGCGCCGCTCTCCACCGCAGATCGAGCAATTACACCTGAGCGCGCCGTTGCTTGAGCCCTGCCTGATCGCCTCCAGATCGCTCGCACGAGACATTCTGTGCATCCTGCACTCCGCCTGAGGCTCGCTGTCAAAAGCTTGGCCCTCAGACTACACCGAACATAACGATCTTGACGAATCTCTGTTTTCCCCTGGGAGCTATCTCTTCCTTGCACTTCGCTGGTCGGTTGTTGCTGCTGCATACACCATCCGTTCTTTTCTGAATACCCTTTTCAAGACTACCTTCTTTGATTGCTTCACGCGACAACTCTATTGTTCCAGCACTCAGCGCGCGTTGGATTTGGCCTAAGAACACACCCCGATCCCCGCCCCCTACGAACACGACAGCGCTGTGAACCGTCCAAAATGGCTGGTAAGCAGTCATGGACGTCGCACTTCATACCACGGAAGCTGCTGTTTTACTTCATTTTCCATGGGTTGCACATTTTCCTTTTCGCCTTTGGATGGTATGTCTTCTGAACCAGCAGATTGTCCACCACGCTGACAGTATGATAGGTACAAGCAAGAAACCGAACCGAGACTGGCTGCTTTGAACGGTCTCAAGTTCTCCGTATGGATCTCGCGTGGTGCTGGGCTGGTCTTGTCTTTCGACGTTCTCTTCATTCTCCTGCCCATGTGCCGAACCTTGCTCCGTGTCATCCGTCCCAAGATTCGGTGGCTACCTCTCGATGAGTCCCAATGGTTTCACAGACAAGTCGCCTATGCCATGGTCTTCTGGACCGCCGTCCATGTCCTTGCCCACTACGTAAAGTAAGTCTTCCGCTCAAACGCAGACCAATGTCATACTGACTCTAGCAGCTTCTTCAATGTCGAAAAAACCCAAGTCCGCCCCGAGCTGGCTCTCCAGATCCACTACACGCAAGCCGGAGGGATTACCGGTCACGTCATGCTTCTCTGCATGCTACTTATCTACACGACTGCACACCACAGGATACGTCAACAGTCTTTCGAGACGTTCTGGTATACTCACCACCTGTTCATTCCATTTCTCCTCGGCATGTATACGCACGCTACGGGATGTTTCGTTCGAGACAGTGTAGACCCAGTATCTCCATTCGGCGGTGCCAACTTTTGGAACCACTGCATTGGATATCAGGGTTGGCGCTGGGAGCTCTGGGGCGGCGGCATCTATCTGTTCGAGCGTCTCTACCGTGAGGTGAGAGCCAGGCGCGATACACGGATCGTCAAGGTTGTGAGGCATCCGTATGGTCAGTACAGAGTGTCCAAATGTCGTCTGAAGATTCTGCTAACGGAGCATTGCAGACGCCGTCGAGATCCAATTCGTCAAGCCCTCCTTCAAGTACAAGCCGGGCCAATGGCTGTTCATTAACTGTCCGTCTGTCAGCGGCTACCAGTGGCATCCATTCACCATCACCTCTTGCCCATACGACCCTTATGTTTCGATCCACGTTCGCCAAGTTGGTGACTTCACCCGTGCTCTCGCGGATGCTCTTGGTGCGGGTCCTTCTCAGGCAAAGCTTTACGATGATATGGACCCCAATGGCATGTATGAGATTGCACTCCAGCACGGACAGGAGATGCCCGCAATCCGTATCGACGGTCCCTACGGAGCACCGGCTGAAGACGTCTTCGACAACGAAATCGCGGTTCTCATCGGAACGGGTATCGGTGTAACCCCTTGGGCTGCCATTTTGAAAAACATTTGGCACATGCGTCTCTCGCCCAACCCACCCAAACGTCTCCGCCGTGTGGAATTCATCTGGGTGTGCAAAGATACCAGTTCTTTTGAATGGTTCCAGGCGCTGCTGTCGTCTCTCGAGGCGCAATCGCCGGGATCCGGCCCCAACGGAAACGAAGATTTCCTGCGCATCCACACCTACCTCACTCAAAAGGTCGACGTCGACACTGCCAACAACATTGTCCTCAATTCCGTCGGCACTGACAAGGATCCCCTCACCGAGCTCAAGTCTCGCACCAACTTTGGCCGGCCCGACTTCAGCAAGCTCTTTGTCGGCATGCGCGACGGTATCATGACGCGCAGCTACATGAGCGGTCTGGAGAGCAGTCTACGGACTGACGTTGGTGTGTACTTCTGCGGTCCTAGCGTCGCTGCTCGCGATATCAACAAGGCCTGCAAGGCCGCAACGTCTCCGGACGTGCGGTTCAGGTTCTGGAAGGAGCACTTCTAGATGTGCCTTTTCCCTTTTCCCCGTTGTCATTTGACTGTCAAAGGCGTTGATTCCGTAAAGTTGTGTTGGCAGCAGCTTCGGAAGGTTGTGAGCAAGGCGAACATAAGACGGATCGGGATATGACGGATCGTGGAAGATCCACACGCAATGCTTTTTTTTGTCAGGAGCCATTTACGCATCTTTTTGTCGACTGAGCTTTCTCCCTCACGCCATCTGCTCCGATACCTGCTTGAATGCGTTTTGTAGTTTGTATATCCTTGTCGATTGTTCGCTTGTTGATTCGGGTTTCCCGAGAGAGATATCCAATTTTGAATTCATAGCCGTACTCGGTGGTTCTGCAATGCTTACATTATTTGGCAGTATTGTGCATGAAAGTGAGACTGTGTGACCGCATAGTAGACGCATGACGCAAAATTCAAAGCACATCGTTGCAGCATTCGGGATTCATGCATCATCCCTGAATCCATGGTGTAATCTCTTTTACAGCTCTGCTGATCATGGTAAGATAGATACTGAGACAGTCGTCATCACGTCGCAGGTGTGCCCATGGCGGAGATGGCAAGAACTGTGTACGCAATAGAATTTCATCACAAGCCGCTTGAACCAGATGGGTTTCATCTTGATCTACTTCGGCGTTCCGCTGAAGTTATCCTGCTTCTTGTATGGCGTTTGAGTCGGACAACCAGCCTGAAGAAGACAGGCTGTCTGACGAGATGATGAGCATTATAGTGGTCGAATTCCTTCACAGCCTTTCGACTTTGCAGCTTAGGTCGGATGAGGAACCCCCTCCATGGATCGCGATCGGCAAAATAAGTTATGCGTGACTGCTATAGCTTACTAGTTTGGGAATTTTTCGCATGATCTGCGACCTTTTCGTTGAACCTTGCACCCTTCTTGTCCCAAGAGAGACCGGCTTCGACTTGATCTTCTCCGCTCCACATTCTATAGTCTATACATATGCACTCAGGTAAGATACCAATCTACGCCACTCGTGCAGTAACCGAACCGAAGCAAGCGAGGGTATCTCCGTAGACGCTTGCACCCACACAATACACCAAAAAAAAAAAGGAGAAAACAGCATTAAACCCTTTACCATGCCACCTTCGCCACCCACCCCCGGGGCCACTTTCTCGCCGCCCACTTCCTGGCCTCATCCAGCAGCAAGATGCCCATTCCAAACGCCATGGGCAAGAACCAGTGCGCCACTGGCACGCTCGTCGTCGACAGCACCTCTTGCAGCTGCTTCGGGTATAGAAACAAGAATGCAATTCCCAGACTGAATAGAATGGCGGGGAAGAGCCACAGGTTGCGCGTCTCCTTGACCCAGAGCGGAGGATGCTGCAGCAGCGAGAGGCGACGCGTGCGCACGGCCATGAGGTTGAACCACTGCATGACGACCAGGTTGACGAAGTAGATGGAGCTGGCGTGGTTCAAAATCTGCTGGCTGCGCTCTTGGCTCATGCCCTCGGGCACGGCGCCAAAACCAAACCACAGCGTCGAGAAGGGAAGGCCCTGGCGCTGGCAGTACCAGTACGCCATGGCGAAAGACGAGACCGATTGCATGACGCCTATGGTGCCATACGCGTGAAGCATGAGCTTCCAATCAACGAGGCGGTCTTTGCGGGGGTTGCGTGGCCGCTGCCGCAGCACGTCGGCCTCGGGCTTTTCGTACGCGATGGCCGTTGCGGCGGCGCAGTCGGTGAAGCAGCAAATGATGATCATCAGGAACGACGACAGCACCTGCGGTAGCCCGAACAGCACGTTCGTCATGATTGGCCAGAACTCGGAGAATGTGCCGGCGGGGATCAGGTAGCAGATGGTCTTCTTGAGGTTGTCGAACACCACACGCCCGTACTTGACCGCCTCAACGACCGCGGCGAAAGACTCGAGCAGCACCATGTCAGCTGCTTCAATGGCGATGTCGCTGCCCCCACCCATGGCGATGCCGATATCCGCCTGCTTGAGTGACGGCGCATCATTGACCCCGTCACCCGTCATGCCGACCGTCTCGTGTCGCGCCTGCAGCTCCATCACGATCTTGAGCTTCTGCTCCGGTGTTGTGCGCGCAAAGACGATCTCGTCGTACTTGCAGAGCGCGTCCCACTGCTCATGTGTCAGAGCGTTCATGTCGCCGCCGCTGATGACGAGCGACCGCGGCGCGCCCAGCGCAGTGGACGTCGGGATTGAGATTTCCACAGACTTCTCGTCAGGCGGAGAGGCGTACTCCGTCGAAAGTGAATGAATGTCGTGTATGTCTTCGGGAGGATTCGTGATGATACCGCAATCGGCGGCGATGGCAGCGGCTGTCAGTTGGAAGTCGCCGGTGACCATGAAGATCTTGATACCCGCACCGCGCAGTGTCTTCACAACCTCAGGGATCTCATCTCTGGGAGGATCGACGATGGCGACGAGGCCGATGAGAAGGAAGCCCCTGCTAGCCTCGTCCATGATGGCGTTCTCGTACTGGGCGGACTCATTGGAAATCCCAGAAACGTGCTTCGGCAAGACCTTCTGGGCTAGTAGGATGACGCGCTTTCCTTGCTTCGAGTAGACGTTCTTAGCGTCCTCGAGAAAACACCGGTCGGATTCTGTAAGGGGTTGGGCGTGTCCTTCGTAGTCCATAAAGCGCGTACATCTAGGCAAGAGGATGTCCGGAGCACCCTTGATCATCAACACTTGGTCCTCTGGCCGAGGGTTGTCATTATCAAACAATGCATCGTTGGCGGGCTCGTATACGTCGCGCTGGGCAACCTGGATCATGAATTTGTTTTTGCTGTTGAAGGCGACGCGGTAGACGTTGCGCCACTTCTGGCGCGTCTCATGGACGGACAGAAGGCCTTCGGAGAAGCGCAGAACAGCCGTGTCGGTGGCGTCACCGTTGATCTTGCGTTCGGAAAGGGGCTTGTTCATGGTCGATGCGTCAAACTCGCCAGCGTTGCAAACGCTACCGACAACGGCAAGCTGCTTACAAGCCAGTGATGGTTCAGCAATGTTGGCTGAGACACGAGACAGTTGCACTTTGCCAGCGGCTTCGGTAGCAGTCAGGACGTCGCGACCAACGAGGCAGTCGGTCACGCGCATCTGATTCTTGGTCAAGGTACCGGTCTTGTCGGAGCAGATGACGCTGACGGATCCAAGGGTCTCGACGGTCTTGAGAGACTTGCAAAGGATGGCGTTCTTCCTCATGATGCTTGCGACAATGGTCAAACTGGCTGTGACAGCGATTGGGAGACCCTGAGGCGAGTTAGCAAAGATGCGGAGGATGTTGCGAACCATTACTTACCTCGGGAATAAAAGCAACGGCTACACTGACACAGTCTACGATGAGTTGAGAGACATTGATCCAATGAGGGTGGTCGCGACGCAGCCAGCCGGCCCAGACGGAGATGACGATGATGACCATGGTGAGCATGATACAGACGATCATGGCAACGAAGTAGTATATTTCCTTCTCAAGGCCGGTCAAGCCAGTCTTGGGGGCACTCGTTAGTTTCGCAAGGCGACCGAAGACCGAATGGTCACCAGTGCCGATGACGACGCCAACAGCGGATCCAGACACAATGTGGGTCCCGGCCATGCCGATGCAGGCAGTTTCGAGGAAGTTTTCGTCGGTCTGTCCCTATCAGCGAATGCCCCAATGGCGCAGAAGGGGGGGTGCACGCACCGAATCGACGGTACCGCGAAGAGGGGCGGTCTCGCCAGTAAGAATAGACCGATCGAACTTGGCGTCTGGTGAGACTTCGACGAAGCGAACATCTGCAGGGAGCTTGTCTCCCATCCTGAGGTAAAGGACATCGCCGGGAACGATGTCAACGCCCTGGTGGTGTTGTTTGATGCCGTCGCGCAGCAGAAGACACTCCTCAGGAAGCATGGTCTTGATGGATGACATGACTCGAGAGCTGGACCAGTCTGCATTGTATAAGCGAGTGCGGATTCACGATGGCAAGTGGAAGTGTGGCATACCCTGGTAAAGGTTGAAGGCAGCGTTGATGAAAAAGACAACAAGCAAGACAGTGGCTAAAGCCAGGTTTGCCTGGGCAGGAGGGTCTCCCAGGGGCTTCCATGCGATGAAGACGAGGATGGAGGCAGTCAAGAGAATGGAGCCAAAGCCACCGAAGAAGTATCCTACGGACCTGCGAAACCATGTCGAGGGGGGCGGCGAGGGGGCATTGGGGCCGTATTCCTTGAGTTTGCGAGCGGCTACATCGGCAGACAGACCGTGCTGGAGCGAAGTCGAAAGGCGAATGCACAGGTCGTGGACAGTGAGCTTGTGCCAGTCGACGGTGGCGTAGTCTGCAAAGTCAGCACATGCAGAGGGAATGGGGAATGGGGAAGATGGGAAGAGCGGCGTACCGAACTCGGCATCGAGCTTCTTCTTCGGTGACTTTGCCTTCTCCTTCTCCTTGAGCTCGAGGTCCTCGACGGCTTTGGCCTGGGTTTGCTCAACGTTGAAAGAGAGTGTGCGGAACTCGATGGGCAGAACGACGGCGGGTTCGACCTCGCGGCGGGCAAAGGAGCGCGAGGTGCGAGTGGACAGATCGGAGGCGTTGGAGGCACGGCGACGCAGGCTTCGACGACGCAAAGCCTCGACATCGTCAGCGTAGCGGATGCGGTTGGGAGCAGCGGAGATGAGGTCGGGGTCACTGTCCGGGCTGGACTGGGAAGGCTGGTCGGACATGACGGCGGCCGCTCTTGCTGGTGCTGGTGGGGGGGGGTGTCGCGAAAGTGCAGGTGCGAAGGCAGGTGCGAAGGCAGGTGTGAAGGCGGCAGCAACCAGAGCAATATCGCGGGCCGCACGAGAGCAGTACTGGGCATTGCACTCGGATTGAGCGCTCATATTTCTACTCGAGCTGGCCATGTTGTCACCGCCTGTGATGCGGGATTTACCAGTGGTTGGCCGCGCAAAGTGGCTGTGTGCAGCTTGGCCGCCGCAGAGAGCTTGGATCTGGCGGAGGGCGGGCATGGACGGCGAAACAGCTAGCTGAGGCATTTTCGCAGTGAGAGTTGACAAAGGTAGGCTAGCTGAGATGTTACATGACAAAGGCTCCGCGCCTGCGCGAATATCAGCACTGGCCGGTCAACAACGCCGCATCAAGCAACTCAAGCCGGACCACACGCAATCCCGGGGGCGTTTTCGGAGTGAGGTTGATGAAGGGAGTCTGGTGGTGAGGACAGCCAGGGACCAGATTTAAAGCCAGGTGCCAGGTTACTTAAGCTTTGGGCGCGGTGCGCCGGTGGGCCCGTGCACTGGGGGTGGTGGAGGAGAAGGACGTTATCTGTCGTTACTTGTCGTTACTCGTCGTCCCCCGCCGCTGTCAAATGTCTCAGGCTGTCAGACTCGTCGGTGGCGCCTGCCTGACCGCCAGTCCCCGCCAGTCCCCGCCAGTCGCCGCCAGACGAAGCGAGATGACGGTTTCTCCCCCGCTGCGCGGCTCCCGTGCCTTGGTTCGTTCGGCAAATGTGTTGGGCCGAGCTGCGCGGCGTCCAGTGCTCAGCGTCCTGCTCAGCCTAGCCTTTCCCGGTATGCGCAGCCTGTTTCACCTCCCCACGGTCCCTTCACGTGCAACCTTCGCCGGCCCGTCTCACTCGGGCAATCTCCCCCGGCGCCACCTGCTTCTGTCGTTATATCTCGTCAGCCTTCAACCGCAGCTCACACGCTGTGCAACCACCATGCACCCGAAACACAGCTTGCGGTTGAGCCGCTTTTCGCCAAGTTGATGGTATATTATCTTCGCCGAGCTTGGCATCTAGTAAGAGGGCTATTCATATCGCCACGGAACGGTCCAGACATCTTCCGCACCCATGGAATACAGCCTCCCACCACCATGCGGCCCATCTCCCTGCCAAGCTGGGTTTCTACAATTTTACGTGGCCTGCTTGCCACCTGGCCTCGATGCGTCCAAGCACTCTGGCCTGATGAACCGAGGTGGGTGCCTGCGCAAGCTGAACAAGATCCTTAGGGACTCTGCCCATGCATGTGAATACTTCCTCGTCCAGGTACGCCCTCCAAAGAATTCGTCCACAGCTTGCCTAATGCGCCTCTTCAATCTCTTTTTGGAAACAATGTTCCATCGAGCGGCTGCCCGCCTAGTTGCACAAGCAAAAGGAATGCACAATACACGCGTCATACCATTGCCGTGGCTGTTGGTCACAATGCTACCCCAAAAAGCCGGCACTAGCTCCTCCCGAAACTAAGAATCGCCACCCCTCGACCCCACCAATCACCATTTCCCTTTACTCAGAGATCTACATACGTCTTAGCCTAGTTGGGCAATCCGTTTGCCTCGAGTTCCTTTTTGGGAGTCCGCGTGCTCCATGGAGCTTCTTCTCCACGTTTTCATCCGCCCTTGGGCTCCTTAGTGCTGCACCTTTTAGCCTCGTCGCACATCATGCACCCCTTTCGCAAACCAAATTGTAGATCAGTTGCTCTGTTCGGGCAAACACCCTCTAAACCCCATCTCTGCGGGGTAGTCGGGCTCCCTCCCCCTCTCTAGCTGAGCTTGGACCCTTGCAACTGGCAAACATACCGAGGCGCTTCGTCCATGAACTAACTCAAACCAAGTCATTTCGTGGCTTGCCTGGTCTATGTAGTTGCGATGGACGAGTATAAATGCTGTGAGTTCCTGTGAGTTCCCGAAGACGAGCAAACCGAGCAACTATCCCCCTCATTCTCCAATCAACTCGACCTCTCTTCGATATGCCTTCCTCGTGGCTTGTATTGGCCGCCCTTGCTCTTGCTGGCCAAGCCGCCGCCTTCCCGGCTCTGGCCGAGCAGTATGCCGCACAGTCTTCCCAGAAGGAGAAGAGACTCAACGGCATCAGCCCGGGTTTCGACGCAGAAGCCCAGCGCATTGATGTCTCTGGCGATCACGTCTTCGTGCCACCTGGATCCGGGGACAAGAGGGGTCCTTGTCCAGGCCTTAATGCTTTGGCTAACCAGTAATCATGTGCTTCCATCCCAATCCATACCTGTGCTTACACTCCTCAGTAACTACCTACCTCACAACGGTGTAGCCACCATCACCCAGTTTGTAGAGGCCACAAACCAGGGTAAGTCGAGCAACTCCATCCTTCCAGGCTGCAACATCGGGTTAAACAACGCCATAGTTTTCGGCATGGGCATCGACCTAGCCACCTTTCTCTCCGTCTACGGCGCCGTCATGGATGGAGATGGCCTCAGCTGGTCTATCGGCGGTGCACCGGACACAACAGATCTTCTCAACCTGCTCACCCAACCTCAAGGCATCACCGGCTCGCATAACAAGTACGAGTCGGATGTGAGCCCGACGCGCGGCGACTTGTACCAGTAGTATGTCCATTTGCCTCTGAACGTTTACATTCTACACCCGCCTCTCTTCTCCTTTTCCCCTCTTCCATATCTCTACATACACGTACTGACGCAACTTCAACTCTTCCAGCGGTAACAACTACGCCGTTGTCCGTTCCCAATGGGACTCCCTCTTCGCCAAACAATCCGGCGTCTCCAACGAAGAATCCAACTACGGTCTCGGTCTCCTGACCGATTTCCGTGTGGAGCGCTTCCAGGAGAGCATCTCATCCAACCCCTACTTCTTCAATGCGCCCTTCTCCGGCGTTGTCGTGCAGCCCGCCGCGTACACCTTCATCTACCGCTTCATGGCCAACAAGAGCGCCGAGTACCCAGAGGGCGTGCTGACCAAGGAGGTGCTCAAGAGCTTCTTCGGTTTCACTGGTGACGACGACGACATGACGTACAACGAAGGCTGTGAGCGCATCCCTGAAAACTGGTACAAGCGCGCCATCGGCGACGAGTACACCATCCCCTTCTACGCCCTGGATCTCAACGCCGCTGCGTTGGAGCATCCGCAGTTCTTGGACATTGGCGGGAACGTGAGTTTCCCCTTCCCCCTCCACTCCCTTTCCATTCCCGCCTCCTTCGGCTCCCCTCGCCCAGATCGCAAAGAAAGAGAGAAAAAAAAAAGAAGAGAGAAAGAAGGCCATCGCTGACCTCTCCACACAGACCGGCACCCCCAACACCTTCACCCCGCTAGACCTCCAAAACCTCACCGGCGGCCTGTACAACGCGCAGAGCCTCCTCCAAGGCAACAATCTCGCCTGCTTCGGCTTCCAAGCCGCCGTCCAGTTCGCGCCCGACCTGCTCAAAGGCATCGTCAAAGACCTTGCCGGTGCGCTCGGCCAGCTGGGCGACGCGCTGACGGGTGCTCTCGACGGACTTGGATGTCCGCAGCTGGGTGGAGAGAGCTGGGACGAGAGTGGTCTGGCGGCATATCCAGGCTGGGCCGAGTTGAACGAGGATGGGACGTACCCTTGACGGGGAGGAGGGAAAAGGGGAAAGGGGAAAACAGGTTGATGATGATGATGCACTTCATGCGACTTAAGAAATGATATCTGACGAGTATAATATATAAGCAAATGAGAATAATGATCGGTGTATCTCAGAAGTGATACCATGTTCGAGATCAAAAATTATTTCAACACGAAATCATGAATGCTAGCCTACACACGTTAAAAATTATGCTAGCAACCAATACCTGCGATTGCACTGTGTATGCATTGGAACAAAACGAACACATGCCCCTAGACGTAAAGCTCGGTCTCTAAACGTCCGGAGTGACTGTGTTCCGCTGGCCAGAGTACCGACAAATGGGGTTCAGTATTCTCCGATAAACACTCGTATTACACTACCATTACTCTTCAATCTTTTTCCAGTTCAACACCACCAACCTCTGAAGCGGTTCAACTCCTTACCACGGCCCAGTCTTCTAACCGATTCCAAATATACGCTCACAGCACCAAAAAAAAACAAAAAAAATGAAAACAGAAAACAAAAAGCCCCACCGTCTCCATCACCACCTACCTACACATGAAACCCCAACACCTCATTCGCCCGATCCAACACCGCGCGCTGGCCAGGCAGCAGCCCCTCAACCGTACTGTCCCAAGCCTCCAACCCCCAAGCCCTCCTCCCCTCGCGCCCCGCCATCTCCGCCACCTGCTCGGCCGACGGGCGGCCGACGTGGCGGCTCTCGCCCTCGCCGCCGCCAAAGTCCGGGCTGGGCACGCCGCGGGTCCAGCAGTCGCGCTGGCGGGCGAGGTACGCGGCGTTGGCCTCGGTGAGCGGGCAGGCGGGGATGTACAGGACGGACGAGTCGGCGGCGCCGGCGTGGCGGCTGTCGACGGCGTGGATGCCGTCGCAGTGCCACGAGACGTAGTCGCCCGGCCGCACGCGCGGGACGTGCACCATGCTGCGCGCGAGGTCGAGGTGCGGGTGCAGCGCGGCGCGCAGCTCCTGGCCCTGGCCCGGCGTGGCGCCCTGCAGCCACGAGCTGGGCTGCGGCTGCTCGAGCCGCCAGTTGCGCGGGTCGAGGAAGGAGGGGTCGAAGACGTCGGACGCCGGGTCCGTGGGCCCCTTGGTGGGCGTGAAGAACGGCCGGAGGAGCATGTAGGCCGTGGCGCGCGACAGCAGCGGGTTGACCAGCAGCGTGCCCTCGAAGGGCCCCGTCTCGCTCATGCTCAGCCAGCCCTGGAACATGCGGAACATGCTGCACGCGCCCACGCCCTGGTACATGTCCGACACGACCGGCAGCCGCGAGCCGGCCTCCCACGGGTCGTACTCCTCCCACCGGCCCTCGAAGATCTTGTCGTACACGCCGCCGCGCCCGTAACCGTCCGGCTCCCACCGCTCGACCGAGCCGCCGTCGACGTGCGGGCCCAAAGCGAACCTGGCGTCGCCCGGGTGACGGATGCGCAGCCTGTCCGCGTACGCCGTGGGGTGCTGCATCGAAATCCGTGCATTCGGGTCTGCCGCGTGCCAAAACGACATCAAGTAGCGCTGCGCATTAAGCAAGTCCGGATGCGTTCGCGCCCGCATCTGCGGGCGTGACCAGTAGAGCTCGAAAACTTGAGGGTTGTCGGCAGGAAAGGCTAGTGGACGCCGGGTCAGCACAGCACCCAGTTGCACATGTGCATCGCTCAGAAGGAGAAACACAAAAGCCAATTGAGACTTACCCTTCGTATGCGGATTCTTCCTGACGTACTCCTCAATCTCATCTTTATACCCGCGCGCCTCCTTCTCCTCTACGACGCCCCGTACAACGGCGACGCCCCGTTTTCGATGCTCATCGACGAACTCGTGGCTGACGGTTCCGTTCACAATGTCTTTATACTGCACTTCGGGGACGATTTTGCTGCCCTGCTCGACGATATGCGGGATCTCGGTACGTAGGTCCTTCAACAAGCGCTCCCAAGACGCGCGAATCGCGTCCTCATGCCCTGCGATGAGGTTCTTCTTCAACGTAGCATAACGCGGCTCAAGAGGCGTGAATTCCTTCCCACTAAGCGAAGCGAATGCGTCTGAGATGTCGCCTGCGCGTTTCTGTGTCGAAGCAGGCGCAGTCGCGGCGGTGCGGGCGAGATGAAGGGCTGAGGGTAGAGACGTGTGCGCGCGCACGCGCGAAGTGTGGCGAAGTGTGGAGAGCATTGTGGAATCGAGGTATGAAGTGGGTCTCTCGAGAGGAGAGATTGCGTCTCACCCAGAGGAGGATGGAGCGAGGACGGGACGGCTGCAACGGCTGACTGCTACGCTGCGGTGGAAGCCAGAGGTGTGATTGACGAGGAGGGCATGGTTGCTGACGCTTGCGCTGGTTGGCCGCCCTTTATGCCGTGCCATGGTAAGAGGCGCTCCACAAAGATTGTCGAAGATGTGGAGAGGGCGGAATGCGGAGGAGGCGCGGAGCGGGTAGCTCTCGACGGCAACGGCGGGCGGGATGCGGTTTGGGGTAATTTCGGAAGAGGGCTAAACGTCGGTTGGTGGCTGGCCAGAGGGTGGGTTTCATTCGCTGACGTCGCTGGATGGAGGGGCAGAGGCGCGGGGCAGAGGCGCGGGGCAGCATCGTGCGACATTCTCCAGCATCGCGATCCCGGCCCGCCTCTCCCTCGACAGCCACCATGTGTTTGCTTCTGCATCCGGCAGAATCGATACCCGCCCGTCTACTGCCAGAGGCGACCGTGCCGTAGGAGCCGCCTTCAGCCTCTTCTTGCACCTTCCGTGTACCGAACAGGCAGTTCTACCATCACAAGACGGCGTCGGCGGCACGTCCTCCGTGGCTATATTGGAAGAAAAGAAGTGGAGAAGGCGCGCGACGAGGCTTAAGAAGAGCGCGACGCCCTACTAAACGTCTTCATCGTGTTCGCTCGTCTCTCAGCCGAGACCAATTCCCAAGATCTTTTCTCCGGACAGGACCGATTCGTTTTCGACACCTAGGGCTTTGCTGGGAAGAAAAGTAGTCATGACAGAGGCAGTTCTCCCGAAAGATTTCCTCTGGGGCTTCGCAACCGCAAGGTCCGCTCCCTCTCTCCCAACCCTCTGTTCCGTGAAGGTGCCGTCCTTGCGCTGGAGAGCAGAGAAAAGCCTACTCTCGGATACTTACTCCATCCAGCTACCAAATCGAGGGTGCACCCGAGGAAGATGGCCGCGGCCCCAGCATCTGGGACACCTTCTGCCGCAAGCCTGGCAAGATTGCCGACGGCAGCAGTGGCGACGTCGCCTGCGACTCGTACCACCGCACCGCTGAAGACATTGCTTTGTTGAAGCAAACCCGTACCAAATCCTACCGCTTCTCCCTCTCATGGTCCCGAATTATCCCTCTTGGCGGCCGCAACGATCCCATCAACGAGAAGGGTCTCCAGTTCTACGTGAAGTTGGCCGACGATCTGATTGCCGCGGGTATCGAGCCGCTGGTCACCTTGTTTCACTGGGACCTTCCGGACGGGTTGGAGAAGCGGTACGGCGGACTTCTGAACAAGGAGGAATTCGTGGCCGACTACACGAACTACGCGAGGGTTGTCTTTCAGGCCTTTGGAAGCAAGGTCAAGTACTGGATCACCTTCAATGAGCCTTGGTGCAGCTCCATCCTCGGCTACAGCACCGGCTTGTTTGCTCCAGGCAGGACGAGTGATAGAAACAAAAATCCCGAGGGAGACAGCTCGCGCGAGCCATGGATCGTGGGGCACAACCTGTTGCTTGCTCATGCCTCGGCAGTGAAGGTGTACAGAGAAGAATTCAAGGCCAAGGACGGTGGTCAAATTGGCATTACCCTAAACGGTAAGTTCAGGTTCCCAAAATAACTTCAAACACCACGGGAGGATTATTGCACTGGCAGGTGAGACGAACCTTGTGTTGTGGATCGTCGCCTGGACCTTCTATCGCCCGGGGCGATAGTGCGCCTATTTCCGGCGCACAATAGGCGGAAGCCGCGGGCCTATGCAAACCTAGTCTGGACAACATATCAGCCTAAGTTTTAGGTTTGATAGGCTTGTCTTGGCTTGCGTCCTGCAACATGTCCCGTCTCGTGGCGTGTGATGTGTGTGTGCAGATCGGCAGTTCTAATCCGTTGTAGGCGATTACATGTACCCATGGGACCCTGAGGACCCGCGTGATGTCGAAGCCGCCAATCGCAAGCATGAGTTCTCAATCTCCTGGTTCGCAGATCCTGTGTATTTCGGCAAGTACCCTGACAGCATGCGGAGGCAGCTAGGCGAGCGTCTGCCGGAATTCACTCCCGAGGAGGCTGCCCTTGTCAAAGGCAGCAATGACTTCTACGGCATGAACCATTATTGCGCAAACTACGTCAGGCACGTCGACGGGGAGCCGGATGCGAACGACTTCCTGGGGAATCTCGAGTGCCTTTTCTATAACAAGGAGGGGGAATGTGTCGGTCCCGAGACGCAGAGCCCGTGGCTCAGGCCGAACGCGTTGGGGTTCAGGAAGCTGCTCAAGTGGATAAGGTTCGTTTTCCCAAAAACTCGGTTGGCCCTGTTCCCGCGACGGGAGGGATGGTCAGTCGACGGGACTAACGCGGCTGTGACATCAGCGACCGGTACGACCGTCCTGCCATCTACGTGACGGAGAATGGGACGAGTCTGAAGGGAGAAAGCGAGCTGCCGCTGGAGCAGCTGCTGGAAGATGATTTCCGGGTCCAGTACTTCGATGATTACATCCATGCGCTCGCAGATGCGTACAGCAAGGACAACGTTGACGTTCGAGGCTACATGGCATGGTCCTTGATGGAGTAAGCAAGATTGCCCGGAAACGCACAGGGACATCCGGCGGGATTCCGCGCGATGCTGACGATATTTCCCCGCAGTAACTTCGAGTGGGCAGAGGGATACGAGACACGATTTGGCGTGTGCTACGTCGACTACGCAGGGGGGCAGAAGAGGTACCCCAAGAAGAGCGCCAGGGCCATTGGTGAGATCTTCGACGCACTGGTGAAGAAGGACTAGCTCGGGTGGCAGGTCGAGGCACCAGACGAGATTGCGAGCCAGGTTTGGGCGGAGGTCCCACCGGCAGGGCGGGAAAAGGGGCTATGCTGGCACGGCAGATGAGCGTAGCGCGATTTGACTGCCGTGCCGGGGAATTGACAAGCGTCCACGGAGGCTGAGACGCTGGGTTTCGCCGCGAGGCGGCGGCATGTGGATGGGGTCGTCAACGGCGTGGCATGACAGCGGCAGCAACGGTGGGCAAGCGCATCAGCCCTTGCTTATTCGTTAGCGAATATGGAATCTATCTGCTGGTCCCACGCCCCGCGCTCAGCTGCTTTGGTACCAGCGCAGAGCCGGTACTGTGCGATTGCCCGCGTGCGGGCTCGAAATAGGAGTAGTGCTGGCCGCCATCGGTCCTATTGCCGTGCTCCAGCTCGCACGCAGCTGCGTCTGGAAGCCGTTGGCTTGCTGGACACGTGCTAGATGGGCTGCTACGTGCGGCGTACGGCCGCAAGGGGCGGCAGGATCGCGCTGCGTGGCCACCCGGCGCTACCGTCGGGGTTTCTGACGACGCGCAGCTGGCTGGCTGCTCGCTACCGCAGTTGCGCAGGGCAGCCGGTGTGGCTGCAAGTGTGGGCGTGGGCGTGGGCGAGGTGTGGGCGAGGTGGTCCCTGGTCGATTGGCCGACCCCATTGAGCAAGGCTGAAACGCCCGTGCGCGCCAGCGGGGAGACGCCGAGGAGTCTCCGCCCCCGGGCAGTGAGCGGGCGCGGAGGAATCTCCGCCCGCCTCCGCTGCTGCGACGCCGGCATGGACCACCCACCCTGCGTGCTGCAGGAGCCGGCGTGCGGCGCGACGCAAGAGACATGTCACCTGTACGAGACGGTGCAGCCCTTGGGCCGCGGGGCGGGCTGCTGGCAGCGGAATGGGTGCTCCGCAGCAGGCTGGTGGTGGACTACCTAGGACCGTTGCTAGGAGGAGCTTGACCGCACGGGAGGGATTCGACGCGCTGCCGCCCCTCAGGTACGCCCGCGCTGCCTGCCACCCACCCCAGCTGGCCTAAGCCCTAAACCTCAGCAGCGTGCGTGCGCTACGGTGACGGTGGTGTGCGGCTGTGCCTCGACGAGGGTATGCATGCTTTTGCGCCGGACGCGCTTGACCAGCCCAGATGCTCCCTTCCCGAGCGCGCCGCCAGATCTGCACACCAGTTGCAGCCCAACGTCTGTCGCTGCAACAATATCGCAACACGAACACCGCCGTTTCAGGGTCCTTCTGCGCACACCGGTTGTGCTTCATGCGCAGCGCTGCAGGCCGCCGCCGTGGCCATGCACGCTCCTCCATGCCAGCAGCACGCCTCGCGGCGCGATGCGCGCATGAAGCATGAGGCCACATGGCTCGGATTGCCTTCGTCTGCCTCACCACGGGAGCATATCGCCCTTGGCGCGGCGGCAACCGCGTTAGGCGGGCGGAGGTGGTGTTTAGCTGTGGTGCTATTTGCATAGAGCGGGTTGCGCAATCCTGGGACGCACTGTCCAGCCATCCGTGAGCTGGTGTGCCAGACCAGGTCGTGCGAAGCGCCGAGCCCAGCCGACGCCCATGCGCCGCTGAAATCACCGAAAAAAAAAAATGGACGCACAGGGCAGCCGCTCTTCGTGAGGAAAGCTCAGCTGCACAGCAGATCGGCGGTGTCAAGCGGGCGATGACGACGGGCATCTGGGCATCGAAACTGGATCTTGGTCTTCCCTGCACCTCACCCCAGCTGCTCGAAACCTCTGCCTCCCATGAGGCATTTTCCGCCGCCTTCCCTGCGCTGCCCTGCCCACTGCCGGCCGCCTGCGCCAGTGCTCCCGCCCGCCCATGCTGCATCGAGTCCGCGATAGCGAGCGCGCTGCAATCAAGGCCATGCTTCGCCCAGTGCGCTGAAACGCGCGCGGCGGAGAGCGTCGTGACGGGATGCGTGGGCGGGTTTGCGCGTCTGATGGGCGGCCGCCATTGCCCTGCCACGCCCCTGCGTGTGCCGCTGGCCAGCGTGTGCGGCTCCGCTGTGCGGGCGCGGCGGCGGTGCTGGGCGGCCGACGTCCCGCTCCAGGGCCGCCCGAAACGGCAAGACGTCTGCGGCCAGCTGCAGGAAACATTCCTGCGCCCACGCTGTCCGCTCGTCAGCTCCCTCTGCCCCCGGCCGGGAATCGAGAACAAGTTTCCGCCGCGGGCGCGGCTGCTGAGCCCGCAGGCAGTCCGAGCCAACGAATCCACACGCCGCCCCCCCATCCATACTCGCGCCCGCCGCGCCGCCGTCGCACCCCCCGTGCCCCCGAGCATCGGCCTTGACCGGTGGCCGGCGGAGGAGCAGCCGGGAGGTTGACCGCAGCCGGCGGCATGCCTCTCAGCGCCAAGACGGCCGTTGGCGACAGTTCCTGGCGATCTGCACCGACACCAGACTCAGAATTTGCCGGCCGATGTCGAGGCTCATGGGCAGCCACGTGCGGCGCCGGCACATTTGCGCGCTGCCGACTAGGCCGGCCGGCCGCTGGGCTGCAGGCTAGGGACTGGCGCGGACAGGCCTGTGACGCGGTGCCCTGCGTGGGAAGCGAGCTGGTGGCGTGGGAGCGGGCGCCATTCGGGGCGTCCAGGTGTGCTGCCATGTGGCCGGCGCAGGGGTCTTCCACGGCAGTGGATGCGCCCGCGGCAGGCATTGGGCGCGGGGCTCTGTCGCGATCAGCTCGTCCAATTTGACGCGGACGGCAACGAAGGATCTGTGTCGGCGTCTGGCGGGCATGGCATGTCCCGTCATGCCCTCCGCACAGGCACCGGAGATCTGGACGCGCAGCTCTGGGGTGGTGCACCGGCGATTGGGCCGCTGCTGCTGCGTTGAAGCTGGCGATGCGAGCGCACACCGGCGGCCGCACTCCGTTCGCTGGCATCGAAACCTACGGCTTCCTCCCGGCGCCATGCCAAGCCCACGTCAAGCGTCTCGAAAGTTCGAAAGTGAAACCCCTTCCCCGCAAAGAGGCGCACGTGTGCCTACCATCGTCTTGGAATCCGAGGGGAGCGAGCGCGCGCAAGCCTCACTCGCATCGTAGAAGAGCCGGCGCCGGAGCGCCGCTGCGATCTGACCATAGGCGTAGCTGCGCCCTCACCTGATAGTCCTAGTCTTCCCAGGCCCTGGCCACATACCTGGTGCGGGCGGTGTCGATGGATCCTCACTGCCATTTCTCCTGATCTGCTATTGCAGAAACTTATCTGCAACCGTGGTGGCCCGGCTGCCAACTTTCGCCCGCCTACAAGTACCCAATATACGCACCGCTGGGCGCCCCCCACATACATCGCTCCCTCCCTCACCGCCGTCCCCGAGTGCGGAATGTCCATTACCACCGCCATTAGACCGCTACACAGTCCCGTCGAGTACCGGAGCCGCTATTCAATGAGTGCCCAGTCGAACCACAGCATCTCGTCCGTCAAGACGACGCCCTCGTACGAGGGCCAGTCGTCTGACGGCGACTCGAAGAAAAATTCGACGCCCACCCCCACGGGCTCCGCCAACGCCCAGCACCAGAACAATGCCGCCCAGCCCGGCGCCAAACGCCGCCCGTCGAGAGCGGGCACGCGCAGCGTCAGCACGCTGACGGCCGCCCAGCTGGAGCGCAAGAGGGCCAACGACCGTGAGGCCCAGCGGGCCATCCGCCAGCGCACCAAGGACCACATTGAGAGCCTGGAGAGACGGGTGGCCGAGCTCACCGCGCGGGAGCAGGCCAACGGACGCATCCACGAGATCATGCAGCGCAACGACGACCTCGAGCAAGAGAACGCCATCCTGCGGCAGCGCCTCAACCACGCCATGGCCGCCCTCGGCCAGGCGGGCTACGCGGAGAACAATGGTATGTTGCTGAGCCACGGCCCCATATACTCCCTCGCCGGACGGCACGACGCGCGTTGAGCATCGGCGGGGGAGAAAAAGCAAAATCGGCGGTTTGGCTGACAGTTCCGCGTTTTGCAGGCCTGCCAAGCGAGAGCGGCATCCTTGCAGCCAACGGCGCACCCTCGCCTAGCGACAGAATACACATCATGAACCAGCCCAGGCCGTCGTCGACTCCCACCGCCCGGAGCGTGCCCTCTGTCACGGGCGCCAGCGTGCCGAACGTGCCCTCGCAGGCCGACCAGTGGCATCATCCGCACGCGAATCCGCACGCGCATCCTGGATACAGCCCGGCAGCCACCACCTCCTCCACCGGAGCAGACTCCGCCCCCCCCGTCGACGTTGCCGCCCCGCCAGATGCCATGCGCTGGAGTCCCCACGGCCAGCATGTCAATGCCCCCGTTTCTGTCGCCGAGAGCAGCATGCACCCAGTAGACAACTCCGTGCCGCATTCCATGAGCTACGGCGGCTACGTGCTGGATGCCAGCGGACGTCCCGTGCAGTCCCAATACGAGGCCCAGAGCCAGCAAATGGGCTACAGCCATATCCCTGTGTCCAACGCTCCGCCGCATCCGCCTTCCTATCACGACCAGCGCCATCTTCCAGTCCAGATGCCGAACCCTCCCTCATCTTATTCGCAGTACCCCCAGCCCCAGAGCTACATCCCATCCTCGCACCATGGAGAGTCCATGATCCAACGATCGTCGATGGAGGGCCAGCACATGATGTACAGCATCCCGTCGAACGTGAAGCCGGAGCAATGAGTTTTTGGCCAGGGATGGAAATGTTTGGAAAGGAAAGGGACTTCGTCGCACACGCACCCAGCCGTTGCATCCTGCCGCGCCGCCAGGGCCACACGCTTGGGGAGGCGATTCTCAACGCTGGAAAATTTGCGGTGCTGCGCTCTGTTCAGGCACCGCTTCAGGCACCGGTCTCGGCTGAGTGCCGCACGCAGGCGCGAACGGATTGGGCACTCTAGCCGGGGTTTCAGTCGGTAGAGTGACCCTCCACGGCGCCCGCATGAACCGCACAACCGGCGTCAAGAGCGCGTCAGAAACGCGTCAAAGATAGGAGCTGTTTGTATCACCTAACAGTAATACGAAGGACCGCAATATCAACACCATTATTTCTTGCCGCCCTTAACCGTCGTCCTACGTCATCGCCTCGCGAAAACCGTTTTCTTAACACTTGGGGATAAGAACGCAATCCCAGGACCCCCAGGCGCTCTCGAGGGAAGTTACCGCGACTAAGACCATCAGGCCCCTCGGCAAATGACTCGTGGGATGTCCACTCTTCCAGACCCCGGTACCCTGATGAACGTCCCGCCGGTCCATGCTCCACGGCTTTGGATGGGAGGACCCGGCACGGCCCCAGCTGACCGTGGACCGTAGCTCCGGACCCCGGATCCCGACACTGACTCGGCTGCGTGTATCAGGACGATTTATGCACGTCCCGACCAGCGACATCTTTTTCCGTCTGTTGTCGGCGGATCTTGGCCAGGATCTCCGGATACTGCCGAGGGCGCAAATGCATCAGCCAATCGCTTTCCGTTGCGAGATCCGAGCGTGTGTCGACCTGGTGAAAGGTTGAAATTGCACTTCGCCCTGTACCTGCCCTCTCACCACCAGTGCACCACGTCCGCCAGCTTCGGCTGATCTGCCCCCGGGACACGAGAACGGGCCGAATGTGGGTGTGCGACATTCCGCAGGGGGCCTGGAAAGTGAGGGAATGGGAAGCGACATCCGCCGATGAGGCCTACTGTGAGGGCTGAAGAGAAGATCACTCACCCATTTCTCACCGACATCCGGGTGACTCCGGACTCGGTTCACCAACGTCGCCTCGCCCAGGTGGCCCCATCGTCCCTTCACAAAGGCAAAATCGACCTTATCGTCGCGCCTTTCGCGCTTCAAGGCCCGCACCGCCTCAGGCACGTCCATTTCTTCAAATCGCGCGTCATAGCTGACGCCCTGGAAAAACGGGATGCTGAAGCGGGGCCCTTCCCCGCAACGTGGACTCAAGACCCTGTGCGTCGTCGATGCACACACGCCCTGGGTGATGGCCTCGAGACCTTGGCCTATAACAACGACCAACGTGTTGGGCTTTGGCGGGCAGTCTATCCACTCTCCCGCCGCATTCAGCGCTTGCAGTCCGCGTTGCGGCGAAGCCTGCAGCAGGTAGGAGGTGAGCATGCTGTCTTTATGCGGGCCCACGCCCTGTCGCGCGATCTCGTCGTTGTCATCCACGTCCGGTGATGCTTCCGGGTACTTGACGACCTTCAGCTTGTGTTGTTGGTCGGCGTCGAAAAACCGGTCAAACGCGTCGGCGGGCAGACCGATTGCCTCGGCTATCAGCGACGTGAAGAAGGTGCTGATACCCGACATGGCCCGCATGTACTCCTCGAACACGGGTCGAAAGCGTGGCAGGTACTGCGGCGACGGCCATTGGTTCGGTGCCCGCATGTTGTAATAAAGGGGTGCATCCGGTCCTGGAAGGTCATGCGGCGTGGAGAGGTCGAGCTGCTCGCGATGGTCGGCGTGCATCGCCGTCGTCTCGTTGTCCAGCTACATGAAGCAATGGTCAGAACCGACACCGATCTTGGAGCCACACCAAACCGTAGCGACGACGGATCAGAAATCAGAAGCGAAGCGAAAAAAAAAAATAGAGGAAACAGGAACTGTCGGAAAACACGAGATCTTGCTCCTATCCATCTCAGCCCATCAGGAAGACTCAATTCGAGTTTGCGATACTTTAAGCCTGCATGGCTTTTCTTTTCTTCATCCAACCCTTTCTCCTGTACACGATTCGCCATTTCCTTTTTTACTTTACAAACTGTATATTTTCTCTTTTCGTACATTGTTGAATTGGGTCGCAAATAGACGGTGGAGTTTTGTTTTTTATCCTTTGAATGCGAAGATACCACAACAGCAGCTCGAAAACTCGTGTAACAACAACATATTAGACTTGAGACAAGCATGTTTTTAAGAGAAAGTGGACTTAGTATCGTCAACGACGACGAAGACATCAAATTATGAGAGACATCTGGCTACGTGTCGATGTCATACTTTTCCAAAGACGACAGCAACTGAAGTGAACCGTAACGCCAAGACGAATGCTTTGTGATCGACAACGAAGTTACGCATTTTGGCAACTTCAATGCGTTGGAAATGTCGTCATGGAGCAAGAAAAGCACGCAATCATATGCAAGCGAGCACGATAACAATCAACAACACCAACAGAAGAACGAAGGAGAAGAGGGACGAGGTTATCACAGCTTTGGAGAAACCAAACCAAAAAAAAAAAAGAACGAGGAACAAGGAACAAAGAACAGGGATCTCAGAAGCAAAAAGCAAAAAGGAAAAATCTGACAAAATAGACTCACCCTGCTCCACCCCAAGAAGCTCTTCTCGTTCTTCATCTCGATGCGCCGCTTCTCGGCGTCGGGCAGGGCGGCGAAGAAGGCGACGCCCTCGCTCACCGCGTCCGCGAGCAGCCGCGCCGGCAGCCCCGTCGCCACCGCCTCGTCCTCGTCCTCGCCCTCGCCCTCGTCCTCACCGGTGGTCACGTCGAGGTACAGGAAGCCGACGTCCAGCAGCGCCGCGCGCAATGCCGCGAGGAAGCGCGGCTTAGTCGCCGGGCTGCGGGCGTCCCGCAGCGCGAGGGTCGGGATCGCCGTGAAGGACGACGGCGACGGCGACGGCGGCGCCTCAGACGCCTCATCAGCCTGCGTTTCGGCCGTTGCGACGAGGGGGGTCATGCTGGCTTGTTTTCCTTTTTTTTTTTTTTTTAGGTTTGCTAGTTGGGTTTATTTTTGTCGCTGCTTGGGCTGGTTCGTTGGGCTTAAGCGATAAGGGGGAAGGAAGGAAGGAAGGAAGGAAGGAAGGAAGAGAGGGGTGGGTAGGTGCGCTACGTTGGGGGGAAGGAAGCTTTGGGTAGAAACGGCGTGCGTGGTGTGTGCTTGGTGTGTGCGTGGTGCGTATTGTGGAAGGAGCCTTGATGCGGAGGTGGATGATGCTAGCAGACTTGCCGGATCTAGGGCGGGGGTGTCGTGTCGTAGGGCGAATCCGCGGCGCTACTGGCCGCCCGCCGGCGCCGCACCGCACTGCCAAGACCGACCGTGGTGATTGTTCCTTTGGTAAAACTGTGATGCGCCCTATTTTGCTATCTGGAAATTAACGGCAATCCGAGCATCTCGGGAAGTGGGAGGATCCGACGGGATGAGGCAAGCGAGTCAAACGGGAGGAGCCGGTGTGGAGGGTGTGCGTATTCATTGCAAGCGTTGTTGGCCTGACCATATTAAGAAGAGACAAGAAGCTTTGTCGCCTGCCTAAACACCACCAGATGCCTTATGGAAATTGGATGTCGCAACACTGTTAAGGGCACAAGCGCCACGATAAATTAGAGGCGTGGTCAGAGCTCTGCCTTGCCCTTCCTTTAACAACCTCTAGCGTCGTCGTATATTATTGCCAGGCCTTAGGTTCAACGGCTTGTGCCAGTAGCGCCAGATTGTCTTTTTTTTTATTCCCGCCGTTTCCAATTTTCTGAGACGCGCAGTGGCGTTCACGCGTGCCTAAGACTTCAGTGCCCGTTCAGTTCCCCAAGTATCAATTTGTCTGATAGTGCTAATTTTGGCAATTGAGAATCGCAGATGGTACGACCACAAGGCGAAACGAAATTGAAGAAGGAGAGCTGAAACTTGGAACTGTAGCTTGGTGGAGAATGGAGAATGCCGAATGCAAGCCTGGAAAGGGAAAAACCTGGCTTCCTGGCCGTTCGGAAAACGTAGGGTCAAAGGGCCGTTGCTTGGTCGTAATAAGTCGTGCCGATCGTTTTCTGCCCGACGATTATTGCTGACTGTCCCAATGAGGGTGGTCCCGTGCGATGGCAATAATCGGCTCTCCGCTGATGTAAACGGTGGACCTGGGCTGACATCTGTAGCTGGTCTTTCTTCATCGGGATGGTGTGCAGCACGCGCCTCTCCCGTGCGGCACCTCTTCCTTCTTCCACCCTCCTCGCGCGATCAACGCTCTGGATGGCCGGAACCCTTCTCCTTACTCATGCGCAGTCCCTGCAGCCCATCTCCACAACCCGTGTATTCCCTGTCTGACAGCCAGGCTAGGCTGAAAAGAGGGGCGGAGCGGAGCAGGGGGAAAGCCGCATCGTGCTCGGAAACGTCGCGGCAGGCTAGTCGCTGCGCATGTAGTAGACGAAGGCGCCGAGGGCGACAGTCTTGACGAGAAGCACGCAGAGGGAAGAGATGAGTGGGATGAGCAGCATGACTCGGGGGTTGTTGCTTTGACAGAGGGTGGCAGGTGGCCTGGGACGGACCGGTGACAAGGTGGTGGTGGGGGATATTGTAGGTGGTTATTGGAAGCAGATCGCAGCAGTGCTCTGGGACAGCGGGTTCACGCGTCGCGTCGACGGACTTTTTGAATGCTGCTAACCTACAGCTTTGCGTTGACTGCTACGTCGCGAGCGCAGCCAGTTTCCCAGGGAGCTGCAGCATTCCCGCGCCAGCTGCTGGGAAGCCAGCACAACCAGCCCTGCGAGGCGGGCTCAGGCAGGCTCAGGCGGGCGGGGTTCCAGCACGTGAGAGCGAGTGGCAGGTGAGCCAGGGACGAGGCGAGGCGAGGCGAGCTGAGGTTGCGCTGCGCTGCGTATGTGGCGTCGGCGCCGGTTGGTGCTGTCTGCTGCTCCAGGCGCGTGATGGGCTGGGGAGGTGCCTGTACTGTGTAGCAGGTCGTCGTCCGCTAGGCAGGGGTCCGGCTGCGCCATCACTATTTGGGCGCACTGGACAGTCGGCGTCGCTGCATCTCTCACCGACACCATGGACTGGGGTTCGCGCACGCCCAGGTGACCTCAGCCGGCGCCAGTCGCATGCCGCCCACCTGCACATCGCGCTGGACGCCGATGCTTTCGTGCCCGCGCCGGCTGTGGCCTAGTGTGTGGTGCGCTGTTGCGGAGGCTGACCGCTTCGCCTGTCCTCACTCCTCAGTCGCCGCTCGGGATGCTCGCGATCGAACGGCAGTCGACCTGTCCGGTACGCGCGTCGCGGGAGCCGTGTGTTGCGGGGCACGGCCAAGACTTATTTGTCAGGACGACTAGCTGCGACGGAGGTATCTACGCCGCACCACTATAGGCACAACCATCATGTAGGCCTAGTCTTCTACAGAGCTGGCGCGCTCCGCCGCGGCGCACGTGCTCAAGCCCAGCTGGACGTTCAAACCCCCACACGGTCCGTTCGTTGCCTCGTGAAGAGCTCGGCTTCGCGCAGGCGTATCGCACAAGCGTATCGCACAAGCGTATCGCACAAGCTTGTAGGCGTCGAACCACGCTCGCTCTATTGTATGCTTAGCCTGGACCTAACGACGAGGGCGCTACCGGCTGCAAGGGGCCTAGCAGGCCGACCATCTTGCTCCCCTCCGCGATCCTCTACACTTGCACCCCGATCCCTGAGACGTTCGCTTGCTGCTACATCGCGCGCCGCCCTGATGCAAGAACGCCCATTCCATACGAAGGAAAAAAACCGTCAGTGCTGATGAGCGCCCGCTTGTTGTTTCCCCAAAGGTGCCCCCCTCAACGCCCAGAAAGGAAAGAAAAATCTCCGTTCCGCAGAGAAACGCCGTTGTCGTCCGTGTTTTTCCCCGTCCTCTTCGCAGCCCACTGGGCCGTGCTATTGCACACAAACTTGATTCTGCCGCGGTCGTGCGTACTGCCCGGGCAGCAGAACCTCTGTCCATGCAACCGCGGCCGCAGCAGCTGAACCCCACCTGTGCCGCACGGCTGCTGCTCGGGGTAGGCCGTTTTGCTAGCGCTCACGCGTAGGGCGCGAGGCGTTGGTGCGCGCTTGGCTGCTCCCCGAACTTCTCCCACGCCTTTTGCCAAGCCAGATAGTCGGGGTTCGTGGTGCCGCCGAGACCTGCAGTGGCAGAGTGTCAACGGTTTTGTAACTCTTCTGTGTTTCCGAGACACGGGCTGAGGCAGCTACTCACGCGATGCATCGGGGTGGGCCTTCGCCTGCTTGACCAGCTTGGGCGCCTGCTGAATGGGTGACTTGCGGGTGGTAGTCTGGATCGCGGGACCAATGGCGCGACGGCCTGCAGTAGCGGGGGAGGGTGAGCTCATGGTTGCGCGCAGTTTGAGGAAGGCGTTCGAGAGCCAGGTCATGGTTGGCGTATGTCAAATCAATGTTGATTGGGTGAGGCAGGCTGGCGTTGAGGCTGTCTTCTGTAGGTCTGTACTGTTCGTGATGCTAGCCGGAAGTACGTTGCAGGATGAGGTTCAGGTTCCAACCTTTGGCAACTTCAGAACTACCGCGACGCTGCCCGAATAGGCATGCAAGCAGCTGCCTTCCACGAAAACATTGTGGCTGCTATGACGTATCCACCCGACCCGAGACTTACCTAGGTAGCAAATGCAGGCAGTGTGTTCAAAAGGTGAAAGAGCAAACCGCCCCGAGGTATCCATATGATTGCCCTGGAAAGTGCTATAAACTCGTAATCATCGTGAAGTCCAGCCACGCTTACCATTAAAGTGGCTGTATAAGAAAAGGCCAGGAAACAACGCGTAGTCCAGCCGTCGAGTTGCCTTTACAACTATGCACTTCCATCATCGCTTCTCGTTGATATACTGACCCTGCAGTGCCTGCCCTGCCAGAGGCTCACCAACCCCAGAGCTTCCACTCTGCGGGACGGCGTTGCCAAATCCAACGACACCACCAGGCGCATCAGAGCCAGCGCCTGGCTGGCCTTGGCCAAGGTTATCATTGACCACGCCAGTCCGAGCTGCACCGTAGGCCTCAGCCTTCTTCGCGTCCTCGGGCGGAATGTCACCGCCATCACCACCGCCCACGACAACTTCACCGCCTCCCTTGACTTTACCAACAACCATGCCCTTGGCCACCGACTTCAGCACCGCGCGACGTGAGACACCCGTCACATCAATGTAGACGAGGCCAACGTTCTTGACGCCGCCCGCCAATTCTGCAGTGAGGTTTCCTGCATCCTGGCCATACTTGTGCCCGACCATTTGCGAAGCTGCCGCACCACTGGACGAGAGCAGCTTCTTCCCGCCGTACTCAAGTCCGTCAGCGACGGTGGAGAAGGCAATCATGGACTTGTTGAGGAATCCCGGCTTGTAGTTCTCTCCCTTCTCTTTGCCTTTGCCTCGCCCAGAGAGCGATGCGCCGATGTTCTGCGCGTACTTGGTAGCTTGACCCACGGTCTTCGCGGATATGGTGGCAGCAGAATGCGTGAGCTCGTGTATTTTCCTCACGTGGTCATGCGTGGCCGGCTTGAATGTGACAGGCTTCTGGTTCGGCTTGGTCTTCTGGGTGAAGGTGCTCGCTCCAGACGTCATGGCGTCGCTCAGGTACGTGGAGCCAGTGACAATCAAGCGCGATGCAGCAGCGGCGTTTTGCACCAAAGACGAGTTCTTGTAGGCGGGGTGCCGGGCCATGCGCAAGTATTCCTCGGAGATGGGGCGTACATCGACATGTTTGCCGTCTTGACTGATTTCCACCTCGACGGGATCTTGGCGATGGTCAGCAAAAGGTTTTGAATACTTCCCCGCGAGAATCTCACTCTTCGAGCCGGGCTTCAGCCTCGGGTCTTCGTCAATCGAAGCTCCGTCTGCAAGCTCGCCCACGACGCTTCCGTTCTCCTCGTCGATGAGGACAATTTGTCCATGCTGGCCCTTGCCGGTGCCCTCGACATAACCTTCACCGGGCTTGTACGCAGCGGGATTGTATGCGGGAGCAAGACCGCCCTTCTCGCCCTTCTCGGTGCGCGGGGCCTGCGCGCGCTCAAGGAAGGCGGTGCATTGTGCCAAAATTGTCTCAAACGTGTCGACATCCTCCTGAAGTACACCCTGGCCGAGCGGCGGGAACTCAATGCGCGTGAATGCGCCGCTGTCGGGGCCAAGATCCCAGCGCGGGATCAGATAGCTGCTGGGCGGCTGGTGGTAGATCTGCGTGGTCGCGGGAAGGGGGAGGTCGAGCTCGGGCGGCAGGTTCAGATGAAGGTAAAAGTCCTCCTCTGGCGACTCGTTGGCGGTGCGCGCGGCGGGATCGGCGAAGGGGCTGGTGGTGGGCACCATCAGCAGCGACAGCGTCTGTGGGCCCGATGGCGTCAGAGAATCCTCCTCGCCATTCTGAATGTGGTAGGCTTTGATCCCGGGGATGGAGTAGAGTAAGCGCGGGTCGTTGTGGCTAGCCATGGCGTCTGTGTCCGTGGGGCAACGAGCGTGGTCAAGAGCGGCTGTCGACGGCGGTGCTGGCTTCAGATTCTCCCGGCGCTGGGCTGATATATCGCAAATTTGCAGGGAAAGGGGATATCTTGAAGCGTACGTTGCTTCCAAGACTGGAGGCGTTGAACACAGCCACGCTTCATCCCTACGTCACGCCGGCGCGCTTATTGTCTGGCTGGGCGGGCGCGCCCCCCACGCCGCGGGCGGTAGCTCCTGCATTTGGCCCAGACGAGTAAAGCTTCCGTCGACCGGGTCCAGCTTTGTCGCCACATGTGGCAGTGCATGTGGCGCACCAGCTCACCTGCCCGCCCAGCGGCCGCGCTTCTCGCCTTCCTTTACCGCTGAGGCCGACCAAGACTGACTGTCGGGTGGGGCTCTCTGTTTGACTTTTCTCCCCGGACAACCGTTGCGCTCAGCCGTCGCCGACTCTTCGCGGTTCCACGCCTCTCTAGCCTCCCAGCCACGCCGTACAACGCTTGTGTAACGCTCGCCATCGCTTCATCAAGGTATCACCCGCTAGCGGATCCAGGGCACTTTGCCCATCGCATGCCCCGCTCACGTCGCATGCAGCTGCAACCGTCCCCGACTCTGGCCAACAGCCAGCCACCTTTCAAGATTCCGTTCCCCAAGAGCCAATCAGCTCCTTTCCGTCCGCTCTGCCTGGCTGCCGATCTGGAGCCAGCGCAGGCCTTCCCGTTCAACACGTCCCCGACGCAAGAACTAGTTTCCGGACAGGAGCCACACCCACACTCGGGATGGTGGAGTCACACACTCGAGTCCGACCCTCCCTCGTCGGCCCTGTCCGGAAGGTTGCGCGCGTTCTGCGCCGCAACCTCCCCCCGCTGAACTTCATCACCCTGCACTATGCATATTTTTTCTTCACCTGCCTCTTGTCTGCTGTCATCTTCTGGGGTGCTTCCACGCCCGCCAGGAGCGTCAGCTTCACCGACTCGCTCTTCCTCTGCGTCAGCGCCATGACGCTGGCTGGTCTCAATACCGTCAACCTCTCTAGTTTGAACACCTTCCAGCAGGTCCTCCTCTTCTTGTTGATCATGGCCGGCTCCGCCATCTTCGTCTCTGCATTTGTAGTGCACGTCCGGCGAAAGGCGTTCGAGGCCAAGATTTACAAAGTAGTCGCAGAACAAAAGCGACAAAGGCACAGGTTCTCTTTGAGTAGGCCTCGATCAAGGCGTTCCTCGCGTAGCCGTCTACGTTCTGCGGTGGCTAATCAGAAGCAGCCCGATGCGGCCATTGTCAGGGCGACGGAGAATGACGGCGTTGCTGTCGTCGGTCAGGATATACCCCAGATCGTGGAAGAGAAGCCAGGCCCGGACGACGTGGTTCCAAAAGAGACGCATGGCCAGAACGGTGCTCCGAGTAAGGATGACCACGTGAGCTTCGGCCCTGACGCTTTTCTGGACACGAGTCGTGAGCCGCGGTCACGGCGCCACAGCCACAGGCTGCTGAACATGCAAGGGGTTGGAGCGCGCTCCAACGCCAGCTTGCATCGGCGCCACAGTTTTGGTGGCCAGGACTCGATTTATACATCGCGATCTCAGCCTACTGAGCACGACGACGATGACGACATCAAGAAGGCTCTGAAAGAGCATCCCTCACAGATGTTTCCCCCGGCGGACTTTGCAGGCTCCATCGGACGAAACTCCCAGTTCCATCATCTGACTGAGGAAGAACGAGAGGCTCTTGGCGGTGCTGAGTACAAGGCCATTAAAGTCTTATGCATAATTGTGCCGCTGTACTTTATTCTCTGGCAACTGCTGGCTTGTATTGGCATCGGCGCATACATTGCCTTGAACAGGTCTGACACCGCTCTACGGAATGGACTTAACCCTTGGTGAGTGAGGAGCAATGTTTTCTAGCATGTGTGCCGCGCAGTTCCATGTTTCTTTACAGTTTCACTCTACGTTGAGGACTCGAACGATTGACTGATTCTGCACAGGTGGGTTGGTGCTTTTAATGCCGTCTCCGCATTCAACAATTCGGGGATGAGTCTGCTCGACGCTAACATGACGGCATTCCAAACAGCTTACTACATGCTACTCACCATGGGCGTGCTCATTCTTGCCGGCAACACGTGTTATCCGGTTTTCCTTCGCCTCATTGTCTGGTCTATGCAGAAAGCGTTGCCTGCAACTGAGCGATGGGATGATTTGCGTCATACGCTCCAGTTTCTACTTGATCATCCGAGGCGGTGCTACACTAATCTTTTCCCGTCGCAGCACACATGGTGGCTTTTGCTGTCTGTCATTACTCTCAACGCAATTGACTGGGCTGCGTTTGAAGTGCTCAACATTGGGAACAAAGCAATCAGCGACCTGCCGACAGCAGCAGAGATCATCGATGGCTTGTTTCAAGCTCTGGCTGTGCGGTCCGGTGGCTTCTACGTGGTCCCAATCACGTCGGTTCGGATCAGCCTGCAGGTTTTGTATGTCATCATGATGTATATATCGGTGTATCCGGTTGTTATCACGATGCGCAATTCCAACGTCTACGAGGAACGCAGCTTGGGCATCTATGCCGATGACCCGCATCTGAACGCGTTGGACGAGATGCGTGATGAGAAGCCGTCATTCTTTGGCTTCGTCAAGGAACGCTTCCTCGGGCCCAAGGGAGAAGAGCAAACAAAATCGTACTTCCTGCGGCAGCAGCTGCAGGCGCAGCTGGCGCACGATCTGTGGTGGCTTGTCTTGGCCGTCTTCGTGATCATGATCATGGAAGGCAGCCAGTTCGAGCGCGATCCGGTCAACTTTTCGGTGTTCAACGTCATCTTCGAGACGGTCAGCGGATATGGCTGCGTGGGTGTCTCGACGGGGGTGACGTACGACGCGTTCAGTTTTTCGGGCAGCTGGCACACGCTCAGCAAGCTCGTACTTTGCGTGGTCATGCTCCGAGGTAGACACAGAGGCCTCCCGGTGGCGATTGACAAGGCGGTGCTGCTGCCGAACGAGGCACAGTACCAGGCCGAAGAGGAGGACGCACAGCTCCGCATGGAGAGGACTGCGACTAGGCGCGACATTGTTTGACGGCAGCTCGTCGACGGTTGGCTACTATAAATATCACCAAATCGCATGTATATATGTACATACAAAGGGGAAGGAGGGGAGGTGAGTTGGTTGTTGGGGTGACTGGTGGAGGTTGTGGGGAGGCTGACTACTCGGTATAGCGGCGTTGTATAGCAAACAAGCTGGTTGGAGTCAGTGGCTAAGCAGCCGCTCCAGTCGTGCAGTGCATATGCAATGGTGCGATCCCTGTGCCAATCGCACACCCCTGGGGCCGATCTCGACATGGCCTGTTGTGTCGACATCCAGGCGAGCAGTTTCCTGAGTCGTCGTCTCAGCAGATGCCCGAGCGCGTCAGCAGAAGGCATGTCATGCACGTTGGCTCTTCGCGATTCAGACAAATCCGATCCGTGGCCCTGCCTTGACGACTCGGGCCTCAAGCAGGGCCCAAGAACCCGTCACGTCGGCACCCAGGTCCTGACGGCGTATTTCCGATACCCTGTTGTAAATCCGGCTGGATGATCTTTTCCGCTGCCTGGCCCTGGCGCTTCCGCCGACGGGCAGCGGAAAGACTGAGTTTGCTGCTGCATCTGACAGAGGCGTCGAGCGCAGATCCTGAGCGGGAGCAGTCCGGGAGCAGCCTGTGAAGGTTCAAGGTTGTGTAACCGCCCTTGAGTCATGTTGGAGGACTAGCTGCAAGCACCACCCGCTCCCGCTCCGCCCCTCTTTCCGCTCCCCTCTATCCCGCTCCTGGTTACTGTGTGTTGCGCTGAGTGACGTCGCTGGCCTGTCTGCTGCGACCTGCTACGACCTGCTACGACCTGACTATACGCAACCCGCCTGTCGCCATCACATCCGCCACCGCTAAACCACTCCCGACAGCGTAAAACCATGTCTATCAGCTGTAAGCCCCACCGACCAACCCTCTCCCGCCTTTTTCCTATTGGCCTCGCCGCCCGCATTTCCTCGGCCCGGATAAAGACAGCAGCACCATCCCGACCGAACCGTCGGCCGTCAAACGGCCCGCCGTATCATGACATCACATCCGCCTCTCTACTTTGTTTCCCATCCCAACGTCACCCCTTTCCTTTTTCGTTCCTCCTCGCACCGCTGACTCCCCATCAAAAAACCGGACACAGCCTACATCAACACCACCTTCACCGTCACCTTCACCAAACCGTTGCCCACCAGCCGTACTGACAACAATGACGTCTCGACCCGAGACGCCGCCATCGCCCTCCTCCACGACCACCCGAGCGTACTCACGCTGAACCCGCTGGTCGTGCGGTACGAGCGCGTCGCCGTCGACAGCAACGCAGACGCCGCGGCGGCGGCGGCGGCGGCATCAAGCCCGCCACGCGCGGCCAGCTCGTCGCCCCGCGAAACCTACCTCGTGTGGGACTCGATCTCGTACATCCCCGGCACGCACCTGTGGGACGGCGAGCTCGGGTTCCGCGCCGAGTTCGAGGACACGCCGGACGGCACCACGGCGGCGGTGGTGGCGCCGCTGGGGTTCCGGAGCCGTGTCGAGTGGAGGATCGTGAGGGACGACGGTGGTGGTGATGGCGGCGCCGGCGCCGGTTGGAGGGCCGAGGAGAGCGTGACGGCGGCTTGTCCGTGGGGGTTGCGCTGGTTTGTCGAGGGCACCATGAGGAGGGCGCATGAGGTCATCATGGGGCGGTTTGTGCAGAGGGTTGGAGAGGCGGTTGGGGCGTCGCGAGGCCTGGAGGGGTGAAGCGGGATGAGCGGGCGAGTGGGGGGACGTGGGTTGATGAGGGAGGGCGCTTCGGGAGGTCGGGGGATATGGTCGGCATGAGGTAGGTAGGTAGCGCTGTTCGGTCGGTTCTAACGAGAGTGGGAGAGCGAGTGGTATTGCAGGTCCGGTACCCCATCAGAGGAGCCGTCTCTGCCATATCTCGTGCCGGCGATCCAGTCTATCAAAGTGAAATGAAGGAATTTCCACAGAATCGATGATCAATCACCCGAACTTGGACTAATCACCAAAGTATTTGGATTTAGGATGTTTAAGGTATGTTGGAGACCTAGCCCTTGGATACTTGATATCCTATTCGGATTCCCATATCAGGAAATCGGCCTTTGTGGCCGCTCGTTTACCTGCCCTGGTTATTGTTACCGTTGTTCCCGCCCTGCCCGTTACCGCCGCCATTGTTCTGACCTTGACCGGTATTGTTGTTGTTGCTGCTACGGCCCGGCAGGAAATCACGGAATGGAATACCGCCTGGCGGATATCTGGGTGTTTCACCGTGGCGCGGGTCCTGAAACGCGTCTATTAATTCTGTTCCTTCCGGGTTTTCACTGCATTTGGCACCTACATATGAGGGGCCGCTCTTGTCTTTGTGATGCCACTGGTTACCGCTCATTGTGTAGTAGGTTGGTGAAGATCGGATGTAGTGTTGTTCAGTATCTGAGGACTGGTCCCGTTCGACGATTACTTGTATGTTGATCTCTGTGCGATATGCTGTGAGTTTTGAGTTGGGGGCCCACTAGGACTATTTATATATACATTCCGTATGGTTATTCACAGCATCGGAGTGATCTTGCGGTGCAAAAAGCACCATCATGGTGCTATTAAAGACCCAGAAGGTGGGTTGTCTTTCTATTCCGTCTTTGTAGCCCATTTACCTGATGTGCAGATCAGTGTTCGGTATGACAACTATCAACAAAGGTCTACGGGGCATATGGTGTTATTCTACACGTCTGGTTTGCAAGGATGTTCCGATGATACGAGAAACTGAAAGAAAACACACTCACAAGGCAGAAGCCCTTATCTTTGGGCGGAACTCAGATGAACCTGAGTCAACACTTCCAAATGCCGACTCCAGTACAAAGCACGAACTCACGTGCAGCAGAAGCTCCAGCATGGAAAGGTAAAGAAGTAGCCCGAATCCGCACGCCATTCGATCCTTCAAGCATAGACGGATAACGTCTATGATCGTTGTTTCTCCGTTACAAGCCCGCTCCACCTGGACGACAACGCATTGCACGCTCACACATCAAAAGTTCCACTTAGGTCGAGACATGAAGAGGTGCTTGTGCAACGTCAGAGTAACGCTTCTGATATCGAAAACTGCTCCGAGGAGAATCAGCATGTTACTAGTAGAAATGATTCGTTCTCCATCAAGTGAGCAAAAGCTGCCGTTACAAGTATTAGGAGGCGAAGCACGCATCACTTGCATAGGCGAATTGCGCGCCAGAAGAGCCATCTCCTCCCCGTCATTGCTATCAAGGAAAAAGCGATAACCAGTCATCAACGCTATTGCGTGTCGAATTCCCATGAAGAAAATCCAAGCAAGAAAAGTATACACGTAATAGCGAGGGAGCAGAGATTCGTGCCGTTCGATGGCTGATTCCGAAACGGGAAGAATTTTAAAAAGAGGAAAAGCCAAAAGGTATATCACCTCCTCGTTCAAGCAATCGATACCATTCTCCCCAAACGCTCCCTCGTTCTATCCTGCAGCTCATCTTTTCATCCCACGCATCCAGCTTATGAACCATTGAGGAGATACTCCACCGCGCCTTGCACGCTACCACCGCTCCTCCTCAATGCCTGGATGTTCCTCTCGAACTCGTAAAATCCCATGTCATTCAACTGCCTCAACTGATCCGCGTAACGCTCCTCCGGCGGCCGATTATCCGGAGGTGCCTGGGGAAAGCCGGCGCCGCCGGCGCCGCCGAACAAGCCGGCAAAGGGGTTAACGGCGCCCGCATCGCCACCTGGAGCGCCTGTGTTCCCCTCAGCACCAGGAGGACCGAGACCGAGCAGTTGCATCGTTGCGCGCATCGCCTCAGGATTTTGCATCAAGTTCTGTGCAGCGGTCTGGATGGGATCTGCTTGGCCGCCGGGAGCGGCGCCGGCGCCGACGGCGCCGAAGAGGTTGCCGAAGGGATTCGCCGGAGGCGCACCCTGACCTTGGCCTTCTTGGTTCTGCCCGGGGGCTTGCGCGCCGGTGGGAGGGGGGCCGAAGAGAGCAGCGAAGGGGTTACCTGCTGCACCGCCTGCACCTGCGCCGGCAGGGTTGCCAAACATGGCGAAAGGGTTGGGCGGAGGACTTGTAGGACCGGTGGTGTTGGGCTGATTCGGTGTCTCCGTGGCGCCTTCGCCAGTCGTTGTGCTGGCCGTGCTGTTGTCTGCGTTCTGACCTTGAGGAGTGGTGTTGGTGACACCAGGCGCCGGGAATGAGCTGTTGCCGCCTCCGGGGCCGCCCAGACCGCCAAAGGAGCGCGCCATCTGCATTTGTTGCCTTATTACCTCCGGATCTGTGAGCATACGGCGAAAAGCAGGATTATCGAACATCTGCTGCATCATGGGGTTGTTGCGGAACATGGGGCTGTTGCGGATCTGCTGGATGACGATGGGGTTATTCATCGCCTCGGTCATGAGCTGGAGGGTGTTGGGGTCGTCGAGCTGGCGCAGCAGCTGATCAGGGTCGGGCGGCGCGCCCATCTGTCTGTACGTTAGCTACAGCATCGCACATGACAGCGAGAATGGGGGCGAGACTCACCCCACCGTCAGGACCAAACGCGCCGGCACCAGGAAGGCCCATCATACCGGCGTAACGGGCGCCGGTGAGGCCGGCCAGAGGATCGTTCCCGGTACCAGTGGCAAAGCTGGTTGGGACGTTGCTCCTGGGGGCGCCGGCGCCGGGGACAGCAGCAGCGGAGCCTTGGCTGGTGGGGTTCTGGCGCGCATTGCTCGCTGCGCTCTTCACAAGATGTATCGTGTTGCCATCCTTGATCTTAGTGGAGTCGAGAGTGTCGTGGTCCTTGAGAACGCGGCCCGAGTAGATCAGACGCTGGCGGTCGGCAGGCGTATCGGCGTATTCGGAGGCTGCGAGCTTCGCCTTCAAGTCGCCGACGGTGGTGGTGCGCGGCAGGCTCAGAGTGTACTTGGCGTCGTTGGAGGACTTGACGTTGAAGGTCACGTACTCGTCCGACTGGCCGGCGTCGTCGGCCATTGTTGCGGGTGAGGTGGTGTTGGGGTTGAGGTTGGGTGGGCGGAGGGGTGGCGGCAAGCGATGTGACGCAGGCAATGATGACAGGCGCTTGGCCGGTGCGCTGCGCGGCTACAGAGACCGAAGGGGAAGGCGCGGCGATGCGGCGGCGGCGTGTCCAGAGCCAGGCAGCGGGGCAGGCGATTGACGGGCTGGGAGCAGGGAGTGCGCTCAGGAGGGAACCGGAAAGCGTGAGGTCGTGGGGCTGAGCTCTGGAGGCTTCCATTGAGGCTTCCGTGCTTCCATGCAGAGCGCGCGAGCACGGCCCCGGGCGCCGAGTCCGCCCGCACGCCGCGCTGCGCTGGTCTGCTGGGCCCTGCCGAGCGCCTCTGGGCCGCCCAACGCTGATGTTCCAGCCGGCGTCATTGGCGACCTGGCGCTTGAGCCTCGTTTCGGGCTGACCCCCCAACCTCGGCAGCTGCTCGTGCGGTCTGCGGGGAGCTTCCCCAGCCCGCGGCCGCCGTAACGTCAAAACCAGGCCCCGCCGCCGTGCTCGACCTCCGTGGTTACTAGCAAGCGAAACTCGACAATGCGCGGCATCCAGGTCACCAAATACGTCAAGGTTCGTCCATGTCCCATCCCCTCTGGAAGCAGCTGCTGAACACTGCCATCCACACAGGCCCCGTCCGAGCTCAGGGTCAGCGAGCTCGCGGACCCAGCCCCGAAGCCGGACCAATACGTAGTCGCCATCCACGCGACTGCCTGTAACTTCTTCGACGTGCTGCAAGTCCAGGGCAAATATCAGACCCAGCCGCCGTTCCCCTGGGTTTCCGGCTCTGAATTCGCTGGCGTCGTCATTCACGCGCCCGCCACCCTCTCCAATGGCGGCACCCCCAAGTACAAGGTCGGCGATAAGGTCTTCGGCGGCTCGCAGGGGGGCTATGCTACCAAAATCGCTGTTGACGAAGACAAGATCCTGCCAATGCCCACGGGCTGGAGCTTCTTCGACGCAGCCGGCCTCTTTGTGACCGCCCCGACCAGCTATGCCGGCCTGGTGAACCGCGCGAACATCAAGGCGGGCGACTACGTGCTGATCCACGCCGCAGCCGGTGGCGTTGGACTTGCCGCAGTCCAGATTGCAAAGGCATTTGGTGCCACTGTCATCGCTACGGCAGGCACTACGCGAAAGCTGGAGGTTGCCAAATCCTTTGGCGCCGACCACGTCATCGACTACCGGCAAGAGAACTGGCCGGATCTGGTCAAGAAACTGACGCCAAAAGGCAGAGGCGTGGACATTGTCTACGACTCGGTCGGTCTCATTGCCCAGTCAATGAAGTGCATTGCATGGGACGGGCGCCTTCTGGTCATCGGGTTTGCTGGAGGGCCGATTGAAAAGGTCGCAACCAATCGCATCCTGCTGAAGAACTGCAGCGTTGTTGGCCTCTTCTGGGGGGCGCAGGCCGCCCGCGACCCGGCTGTTGCTGCGAAGGTATGGCAGGGCATTTTCGACCTCATGGAGGCCGGCAAGTTCAGAGGAACCTGTTTCACAGATAAAGAGTTTGTTGGCCTCGAGAGTGTGCCTGACGCGTTGGGTGCTTTGGCCGGGAGAAACACGTGGGGCAAAGTCGTGGTCAAAGTTCCGCAAGGGAGCCAGAGCAAGCTATAGATCCGCTCGGTGCCGGACCAGACAAATCTGCATAGCGAATCCAATATGGTTCAGTGGAGACGACACGATGCTCGCCTGATTTTTTTCAACCCAAATGGGTTGCCATGAGCGCCAAGCCTGTTTTCTTCGAGCGTGTATCATGCTGCCTTGCTCCGTGGCTGAGCAAAATCGCTCGCTCAAGCACGTGTGAAGTATCGTAGCCGCTGCCTTCATTGCCTTGTGAGTGGGTATACCTCGGCGCTAGTGTGCGCTGAGTAACGACCGTTTGGCCCGTGCGCGTTGCGGCTGGGCGGCGGCGATCTCTCGTTGTGCAGCACTTCACCTCTCTTTGAGGACACTCTCGCCTTCCGCCCCGTCCACCTTTCTCCACCTCCTCCCACCTGCGCTCGCGCGTCCGCTACGCCCCACGCTGCGCGCTTGCACTTTTCCTCCGCCCGACGCATCAGCCGTTGCTCGCCCGTTGCCCCTGCGCGCAAGCTCCAGCGGGATACAGTCCACTCCGACGCGCTCTGGCGCGCACCTCTGCCTCACCTCTGACACCAAGACCACCTACCGTCCCCGCCAGTGGTGCCCGTCGCTAGCACCCTGCCGCCAAGATGAGTTACGCAGACGGCTACGATGACAATGAAATGGCCTACGAGGAAGACTTTGAGGACTCCATCACGGCGGAGGACTGCTGGACGGTCATTTCTGCCTTCTTCGACGAGAAAGGTCTGGTCGCCCAACAGATCGATTCCTACGACGAGTTCGTCAAGAACACTCTGCCTAATGTCGTCGAGAACATGGGCGCCATCACTCTGGATCATACGCCACCGCTCGACGAGAGTGACCCGGACCCGATCATTAAGAGGCGGTATGAAGTGAACTTTGGCGCAGTCAAGATGGCGCGTCCCTCTTTGACCGACGGTGGTGTGACGCGAGACCTTTACCCACACGAGGCGCGCCTGCGGAACCTCACCTACTCATCTGCCATGATCAGCGAAATGAGCACAAAAACATCGATTGCCCGCGAGCGGCCCATCGCCCCATCCGGTGACATTGACGAGGACGATGAAGCAACAGGTGCTACCGAGCTGGTGTGGGAGGTTGACCGCGAAACTGAGAAGGAAAATGTGTTTTTCGGAAAGCTACCGGTCATGCTGAAGTCCTTCGTCTGCGGCCTTCGCAACTTGACTGACGAGCAGCTCTACGCTCACAGCGAGTGCCCATACGACCAGGGAGGATACTTCGTTATCAATGGCAGTGAGAAGGTGCTGATCGCTCAAGAGCGAAGTGCGGCAAACATCGTCCAAGTATTCACGAAGAAAGGAAGCCCGACACCATGGATTGCTGAGATCAGGAGTGCTGTCGAGAAGGGATCACGCCTGCTTTCCTCCATGACTTTGAAGTTCTACAAGAAGGCTCAGCTGTTCAAGGAAGCACCGGGTGGTGTCTTGTACGCAACGCTCCCTTACGTCAAGTCCGATGTCCCGATCCCCATCGTCTTCCGTGCCCTTGGTATAGTCTCCGATGAGGACATCATTAGCCATATTTGCTTCGATAAGAACGACATCCAGCTGATGGAAGCGATCCGGCCGTCGATTGAAGAGGCTGTTTTGATTCAGGACAGAGTGAGCGCCTTGGATTTCATCGGAAGGAGAGGGAGCAACCCCAGCACCGGTGGCACCAAGCGTGAGCGTGTGAAGCTTGCTCGCGACATCATCCAGAAGGAGTTCCTACCACATATCTCACAAGCCGAGGGCAGCGAGACCAAGAAGGCCTTCTTCCTCGGATACATGATTTACCGCCTGCTTCAATGCCAGCTTGGACGCCGCGATGAGGACGACAGAGATCATTTTGGAAAGAAGCGTCTGGACCTTGCTGGGCCACTTCTGGCCAATCTCTTCCGCTCGCTTTTCCTGAAGCTGACCAGGGACGTGTTCAGCTATCTCAAGAAGTGCGTTGAGGCTGGCCGCCCTTTCTCTCTCCAATCCGCTGTTAAACAGGGAACCATTACGAACGGCCTGAAATATTCGCTCGCGACCGGTAACTGGGGAGACCAGAAGAAGGCGGCTTCGGCAAAGGCTGGTGTCTCGCAGGTCCTAAACAGATACACCTACTCGTCTACCCTTTCGCATTTGCGTCGCACGAACACGCCTATTGGCCGTGATGGCAAGCTTGCAAAGCCGCGTCAGCTGCACAACACTCACTGGGGTCTTGTCTGCCCGGCAGAAACGCCAGAAGGTCAGGCTTGCGGTCTGGTGAAGAACTTGTCCTTGATGTGCAACGTTACTGTCGGCAGCGACGTCACTCCTATTCAGGATTTCATGACCCAGCGAAACATGGAACTTCTGGAAGAATACGAGCCCAACGTCTCCCCGCACGCCACCAAGATTTTCATCAACGGTGTTTGGGTCGGTGTCCATCGCGATCCTACTCAGCTCGTCTCCGTGGTCAAGAAGCTGCGTCGTGATGGCACCCTCTCCCCGGAGATGAGTCTTATTCGCGATGTCCGTGACAGGGAGTTCAAGATCTTCACAGATGCGGGTCGTGTGTGCAGGCCTCTTTTCATCATCGACGACGATCCGTTCAGCCAGAACAAGGGCAATCTGGCATTGACCCGGGAGCATATCGACAAGCTTGATGCGGACCAAGAAATCGACGTTTCCGGTTTGTCCGATGAGGAGAGGCAAGAGAAGAGATACGGCTGGCAAGGACTGCTGCACAGCGGTGTGGTCGAATACATGGATGCCGAAGAAGAAGAGGTGGCTATGATTGTCATGACACCTGACGATCTGAGAGCGCATCACAGAGCTCGTCAGGGCATCGTTGACGAGGATGATGAGGAGACGAAGAGCAACAGGGACCCTCACGAGCGAGTCGTCCCGCCTCCCAATCCCAGCGTCAAGCAGTACACTCATTGCGAGATTCACCCAAGCATGATCCTGGGCATCTGTGCCTCCATCATTCCATTCCCGGATCACAACCAGTCGCCTCGTAACACCTACCAGTCTGCTATGGGTAAGCAGGCCATGGGAGTGTGTCTCACGAATTACGAGTTGCGTATGGATACGATGGTCAACGTCCTGTACTATCCCCAGAAGCCTCTTGCGACGACTCGCTCCATGGAATACTTGAGGTTCCGCGAGCTGCCAGCCGGCCAAAACGCCATCGTCGCCATTGCCTGTTACTCTGGCTACAACCAGGAAGATTCCGTCATCATGAACCAGAGCAGTATCGATCGTGGTCTTTTCCGCAGTCTCTTCTACCGTTCGTACACCGACCAAGAGAAGAAGGTTGGTATGGCTGTGGTCGAGCAGTTCGAGAAGCCCATGCGGAGCGACACCATGCGCCTCAAGCACGGGACGTACGACAAGATTGACGACGATGGTGTTGTTGCCCCCGGTGTCCGCGTTTCCGGTGAAGATATCATCATTGGAAAGACGGCCCCTATCGCCCCCGACGCAGAGGAACTAGGCCAGAGGACCAAGATGCACATCAAGCGTGATGTGTCTACACCACTGCGCAGCACCGAGAACGGCATCGTTGATTCAGTGCTTCTTACGACAAATAGCGACGGCTTGAAATTTGTCAAGGTCCGGACAAGAACAACCAAAATTCCTCAGATCGGAGACAAGTTCGCCTCTCGTCACGGTCAGAAGGGTACTATTGGTATTACTTACCGCCACGAAGACATGCCATTCACGCGCGAGGGTCTCACTCCCGATCTCATCATCAACCCTCACGCCATTCCCTCCCGTATGACTATTGCTCATTTGATCGAGTGTTTGCTCTCCAAGGTCGGTGCTCTTCGTGGTCAGGAAGGTGATGCCACGCCTTTCACCGACGTCACCGTCACGCAAGTGTCGGCGCTTTTGCGCGAGCATGGTTACCAGAGCCGTGGCTTTGAGATCATGTACAACGGTCACACTGGCAGGAAGCTCACCGCACAAGTCTTCTTGGGTCCGACATACTACCAACGTCTCCGCCACATGGTCGACGACAAGATCCACGCGCGCGCTCGTGGCCCGGTCCAAATCCTTACTCGCCAACCCGTCGAAGGTCGTGCGCGTGACGGTGGTCTGCGTTTCGGAGAGATGGAACGTGATTGCATGATTTCACACGGAGCCAGTGCTTTCTTGAAGGAGCGTTTGTTTGAAGTCTCGGACGCTTATCGTGTCCACATTTGCGAGATTTGCGGCCTGATGACCCCTATTGCGTAAGTCACCCATGTTTCCCTCTTCGGCCACTGCTGACTTTGCTACTTTTAGAAACCTCAAACGCAACCAGTTCGAGTGCCGTCCGTGCAAGAACAAGACCAAGATCGCGCAAATCTACATTCCGTACGCCGCGAAGCTACTCTTCCAGGAGTTGGCAAGTATGAACATTGCGTCGAGAATGTACACCAAGCGCAGTGGATACAGTGTCAGGCAGTAGGCCAGCCGAGATGGTTGCAAGGCGACAAGATGACGTGATATCGCTATCTTTTCATCACAGCGTTTCCTCCTGGGTCGCTTGGGGCACACACCCTCCGTGCTGTTTCGGCATCGCTTGGCTTTTAGTCCTACGACAGGTCACAGACGTGGGAGTTTCAGGCTAAGCATTGAGTCGGGGTGCGGGACGTGGTCGGAGGTTTTGTTCCCCCATTCGACCATTCTCGCTTTGGCTTCTCCACAGAAACAAAAGCAAAGCAGAATCCTCTCATCTCTACCTTTGGAAGGCTCTGTCTTCATCGACACTCATCACAAAACAACGGGTTGAGCATTTGCAGGGCGTTGGAAAGGGGAGGTGTATTTTTTTCTTTTTGAAACGTAAGTGAGCGGAGAGCATCAGGAGGGAAGGGGATGCGAGAGCAAAAGTGCTATTGCGTGCAAGCAATTGCTTCGGAACAGCAATGAGGCCGGATAAAACTGGTCCTGGGGGGCGTCGATGCAGCAGAAGGTCTGACTAATGACCGTTTTTAAATGGAAGATTTACGTATTTCTGGACGTTCATACCTCATAAGCTTGACAGTTGGAAATGGAAATGGATAAAAAAAAAATTGAATGTGTAGTTTAGTCTGAGCTGTTTCGTTGTGTCGACTATGGCTGAATCAGCTTGTTAGCCCATCATTGCATTGTGAGAAGAAATCTGCCACAAGAATCGCTGCTTCAGATGCCGCCCACGCACGCAAGGACCAGTCGTCCTTTGCCACATCTCCATCACTCTTTTCTCCACTTTTTGCTTTATATTTTCTCTCCTTTGTTTGATCTTGAGCTTCTGTGGCCGCTCTCCGTCTTCCCCTCTCCCTCTCTTGTTCTTTGTTCTACTCCGAAAGCCTCCAAGGCGCAAGACAGTTTGAAAGGGCATTTCCACTTCCCCCCCCACCCCCCCCCCCCCCAAAATCTCGACCTCACCGCCGCGCCACCTTCCCACTCGCAATATGCCGTGACGGTCCTACACTCTCCACCTTCAAAGCCGATAGGCCAAGTATAAAATATGTCTTTTCCTCTCTTTCTCAAGAATCGCCGCCTGCGAGACAAGAAGAGCAGAACGCGACGACTGGTAATCGGGTCAGCAAACCGAGCCGTCTCACACATTTCATATGTATGCACCTACCTAGTCGTTTCCCGCCCCCTGCCCCCCGCCCCTGCTCTGAGGCTCTTTTTCTTCTTTCGCGCTAGCTAAGCCCCTAGCCTCCTCCTCCCCGGCCAGCGGCGGCTGAGTCGGAGGGGGGAGAAAGAAGGCTGCACGGAGCCTGCCGTCCGTCGTCCGTCGTCCGTCGCTAGCTATGGAACTAGCCTAGTCCTGCAGGGGCGGAGCCGAACCAGTTCAGTTTCGCGCCATCGGGATTCAAATGGGGGGTGGCGACGGTGAAGGCGGTGTGTGTGGCTTTTCTTCTTTGGCAAAGATATGCATAGATTGGGCACGGTTGGTGTGGTGGACGAGATGGAGGGAGGGTAGGAGGGTGGAGGTGTGCATGTTGTTTGGGGGGGGGCGGCGTGGAACAGCGGGGTTCACTCAGGAAAATGGGTATCGAGATGGTTAGAGTATCAGTTTATGAATAATTAGCGAACATATGCGAGAAGCCGCGATTGAATCATTTTCACTGTGTGGCGAGAGTCAGGGCTCAGACACGGGCTGTATGTGGATTGGGATCATGATTAATATAAAGAGAGGCCCTGGCGTTTGAGAGCTGAAAGCAAGGTGGAAAGAAGTAGGTAAAATACGGATCACCGCCAGAAACGACCGTCATATTAAATATCAGGTAATAGAAGATAAGCATGCTAGTGAGAGAAGGTGGGAGAAGAAAAAGATCACGTTGAACTCCACTCCAAGTCCGTTAGATACGGCCGTACCTTTCCCTTTCCATCTTTTTTGGTACCCCCCAATGATGATGATGAGAAAACGATGTTGCTGTCCGTAGACAGTATAGGAAAAGAAAGCGAAAACCTTTTACGCGCCTGATTCCATGCCTGTGTGCTTCTTGGCCTATGCCGTTTTTAAACCCCTCTTCGTACACCCCCCTGTCCAGCTATATTCCAGTACGCGCCGCCATGTTTGTCTCGCCACGCGCCCGGTTTCTCTTTTTTTCGAAGTGAGAATTGAGAAAGAGACACAGAAACTATACTGATGGGAACTACGAGCAGAAGAGAATGGTGCTGATCGGGGGACTGCTGCCCCGTTCTTCTTTTATATCCCTCCAAGCAGCCGCATAGCATGCAACTAAAAATGGAGCAAGATGCTTGAACACGCTAGCTTGTGAAAGTGATACTAGCGTCGCGTGAAAGACAAGGCAAATGAAAAGTGCTAAATATTCCAGAGGTTAATGGCCGCGACGAAGTCAAGTAGCGACCTCAACACCAACCAAGAAGATAAGACAAAAAGATAGATAGTAACAATGAGGAAGAAGTTGAAAGGGCATGCAGCTGGTTGTGCATTGAGTTGAACAAAGTCAGCGCAGAATCATCTGTACGATGCTGTAGCTGAACGGCGATGATGATCCAGCAGGCACCATGTTGAGACAACACCCCAAACTGTTGCACCGAGAGATTGCGCCTCAATAGCGTGGCTCGTTGAGGCTTGAGACCGAAGCCCTGTGAGTTGGTCTGGCGTGACTATCGTCAAAGGACTCTCTCCGCAGCTGTTCCAGTCCTGCAGAGGTGTGCGACGGCGGGAGAGGCGTGTACCGCTGTCCGCTTACCAGTCTATGTCCCTGAGACGACTGGTCATCGGATGAGGTAAGTTTGCCGGGAGACGCATCAGTGGCGTAATACGAGAAGTTTGTCGTAGAGTCATTCCTTGGAAGACCATCCTCCCTGGTCGAAGACGTAGGCTGGACTACATTGACTCCAGAATTTGCGTACTTTTCATTCAGGGACAGGGATGAGGGAGTGGCCCCGGATAGCGTACTCGGAGTGTATACGGTCGAGGAGCTTGGGTTGGACGAGCTGTCCGGACTGCTGTTCGAAATGGGCATATATCCATTGAAAACGGAGTCCTGGAGGGATGAGGTAGCTGGCGTTTTGTTCACCGGCGTGCTCATTACTTGGCCGTGTGAAGGGCCGCTTGGAGTGGGCCGACGGTTCTCCTGCACCGCAGAATCCGCATTCCATGCAATGGATGATGACTTGGAGTAGGACAGAGCGTTGGAAGCAGAAGCGATGGATGGTTGCTGAGATCTCAGGTGCAGCGCAGAAGACGGCGTCATCTGCATGCGTGTTGCTGTAGGTACTGGCAGATGACGATCTTCAATGGAGGACGGCAGTGGGAGGTGAGGAGGGGGAGGGGGAGAGGCCAAGGATGACTGCAGCGAATTCATGCTGAAGGCCGACATGTTGTCTGCAGCAAAGGTCGGCTGACGCGTGACTGGCGTGGTACTCAGGTACGGCAGCTGCAGGTTGCTGTAGGAAGCCGTGGACGGCTCATCAAGATAGATGGGGCTTGGCGCTGGCTGCTTCTGGCCCATGGCACTCCAGCTTCGCATAGGCTCTTGCCCACCGCCAATGAATCCTGTAGTAAGCATGTCGTTCCCTGGCACCTGCAGAGGCTGATACGCATAGGCATCAGCTGGAGAGTCGTCGCTGTAGCCCACTGCGCCGTAGTGGGCATACGACTTTGCGGGGAGCACGCTCTTCGGATGTGAGGCGTAGGAGTAGTCGCTGGACTGGCCGTGGTACATGTTGTTCATCGAGAGAGCAGGGTTTGACAAGGCGTTTGGGTAGGTGTAGACGTTGGGCCTTGGGACGTAAGACCCGACCTGTGCATGTTAGATGGAGCAATCTCGGCATCAGAAGGGCGTGGGCGCACTCTGTTGAACTGGCAGGCGGAGATTTCTGCGCCGGCGGCGCGACAGTTCTGGCAACCGGTGTTGTTTCCCGGGTCTCCACTACAGCGGATTTTTCTCTTGCGGCAGCGAGCACACTATGGATCCCGTCAGTCTCGGTGCTACAATGCGCTGCTCGCTGGAAAGGCCCCGCACGGAGTCGCAAGGGCCAGAGGAAGCTCCGAGAGTAACTCACAGCGACGGCGATGCGACGTCTCGGGGGCTGGTTGGAGGACTCAGGCTCGGGGTCGGAAGGACCAACATTGCGCGTCTGGCGGGTTGGACAGTTGCGAAGGTCCGAACGCATGGCGTGGGAGACGGCCATGGACATTGATCGGTCGGCCCAAGGGTAGTGGTGTGCCAAAGAGTCGAGAGGAGAACATTGGCGGAAGCGCTCGAAGTCATTCATGGTCTGAAGATTTATCAGGACCATGGCCGCGCTCAGGGCGTGCGTGCTGCAGTAGGGAAGGGATGACGAACGGAAGTTGCCTTGGCAGATGGCGCCGAATGGAAACTCCGGTCTGCGTTTGCACTCCGATGGCTCTTGACGATGACGCTTCAGTCTGGGATGATCCCGAGCCCGATTGTGGCTGAGCGAGGATCTGGTCACGGTAGTCAAATCCCACACAGGGTCGAGAGCTAGATCATGGGGTTCTGGGGGTGCAAGGGTATTATAGAAGATGAACGATCTATGGTGGCTGATTTCATTTGCGATTGCTGGATGCAGATAATCAAGGATGCGGGCTTGCTTGGTTATTCTGGGCCGACAAAGGGCCTGTGAGTCGTGCACGTCAGGCTGAGTGCCGGGCACTGCCCATGCCAGATGCATGCTAGCCTGCGAAATGTCAAGCTTAGTGCCCCTCTCGCACAAGGCAACGCTTGCGCGACGGCGGATAGATACGCCCGTTCGATTGCATGATCCACAGCCAGCGCCGAGGGAGCACTGGCTGATCCCGGCCAAGCCACAACGGTCTTTTCAGTACTTCCCGCAATCGCGTGGAACGTAGCGCTGCTGTTGTGTTGATTTCTACCTGGTCAGGGGCCTCGAATGACAGCGTCGATGTGCGCATCAAAGGAGCTGAACAGATCCTGGAAATCGCCTCAAATCTCGGCAAGCCCTCTTGTGCGCGCCGCCAGCCCACATGCCTGATGCCAGAGCTCAGGAGGTCGGGGGGGGGGGGGGGGGGGGG